TTCTGGGCTACGCACAAAGGCCAATTACAATGTACCATATATATAAGAGCCAGGGTCTGCCTTCTTTCACCGTGTTCGCTCGAGCGTGGGCCGAGAATAATAGCTGAAAAGCGGGCTGAGGATCTCAATTTTTACGGCATTTCTAGCCGCGTCCCGGCGCGAAGGGGTTAAAGATGTTGTTCATAGCAGGAAACCAAACTATTGTACCCTAGAGTTGTCCCCTGACCGATGGAATGTGGTTTTCATTATGGGATGGATCGTCATAATTGTAATGAGTGTCGCCTGTTTGGGACCAAATCCCTGTCTTCACTTCTGGTAGTAAAAACACTCTTCACTTCTTAATTTGTTCCAGGCTGAAATAGTAAGCACAGGTCGATGGGGAGCTATACGGATAGGACTAGCTCCCCCTGATCACTCTCTAGAGGTACACCTAGGAATAGAAGGCAACTCAGTAGCATTTAGTGTGGACGATAGTACAGTGTAAGTCTGCATTTGTGTCATTCCATGAGGTTGGGGCACGATTTGTGACGGTATCAATTGTTACATGGGTTACGTAAAAATGAACAGCTATTTCCCTGCATGTGGATTCCAAATTGACATTGTTATACATCTCGCAAGGCTGAATACAGATGTGTGCGATATTTTTACAGAGTAAATGACCTACTCTACTGGTCACGACAGGTGGTAAAAGTTACCCATGTAACAAGGACAGTGTCACAAATTGTGTCCCAACCTCATGGAATGACCCATTTGAGAGCTCATTTAGCGCGTCTCCGACAGCTTTCATCCCAGAAGCGCGGCTTGACTGAACAGGGGAAAATGCACTTAGATGCCTCGCTTGTGGCTGGACAATTTGATTAGACCGGAAGTCTCTTCACAAGTGTGGTCTGCCTGCCTGATCCCCCTTGCTTGAACTGCTTCTCGTTCAGCGTTCATACATTAACCCCACCTGCCCAGTATCCATCAAACTTTAACAGCAGGTATTCCTAGGTTTTGGCAGGTGTTGCACAGTGTACCATACCCACTTAACTTCTTGTTGAATTTTGTTGGACTTGGTATCAAAGGCCCAGGGTGATGGTATTGGATTTTGTGTGAATTGGGACACATAAAAGTCACTAAGTGCAGTGTCTGGCTTGCTGTACCAAGTGTTGGACTTTGCTTGATTTTGTCAGGTTTGGTACTGTTCAGTGCAAGTCATTCCACACTGCATAGACCCATCCACACCATATTCACTCAAATTCCAACGGAGTCACATTGTTGGAGGTAATCAGGTTTGGTACAGTGACCTTCAAGTACATATACATGTAGTTATATGTATCTAATGAAGTTTGTTGGGTTCAGTATGCTCCCAAGTGCAAGAGCCTACGGGGTTAGGGTTATTTTTTTGTTTACCCAAGGAACTCTGCTTCACTGCACTACGAGACCAGCGTCAATATTTGTCATTTGTCTCCGTTTTATCACCCAGATACGGCCAGGACAAGAAGACTCCCCTGCAGTGTAGGGCCAGCAGGCCGGGCGACAAGATCGGCGTCGGTATCAAGTTTAGTGAGAACTACATGGAAGGGGACGACGAGAAGTGTCCAATCGTATTCACGCTAAATGGGAAGGAGGTTAGTATTTCCTCCGAGCGGGACCAAGAGAGGGCCCAAGTTTCCTAGCAGTGGAGTCTCCTTTGGTAGCAACTGCGCGTTGTTGGTTCACAAACAACTCTGAAATGCAAGCGTTGCAGTTGCATCCCTACCAACAATATGAGCACTATTTCAACGATGGATTTGCGCAGGGGAAGATGTAAATTAATTTTGGAAATTTTTTTTGGCCCTGGCCGATGTGTATTCATTTTGGGCAGGGCAAAAAATCCAAAATTAATTTCCATCTCCCCCCGCGCAAATCCATCTTTGAAATAGTTGTTCGCGTTACCGACTAATACATCTGATTTGAACCAGCCAGCCAACACCGGGGAGCTCGGTAATCGAGAGGTTAAGACGTCTGAACTAGTAAGCGGGAGGTTGTGGGTTCGAGTCCCACCCGAGTACGCTTGTGGTTTTTTCACAGGCCTTCGGGGGCATACACTGAGTATAAAGTGTTAAAACACATGTGAGCAGGGCAAAAAAAAATCCAAAATTAATATGAACACTCCCAACCACTGGCTTTTTTCACCAGATGAGGGGGTGCTTCTGCTCAGTGCGGATACAGCCATCTGATGTAATTTACAGCATTGTCGTGAGTCATTCACAAGTCCCTGTCCATTACAAGTCATCCAGCCTTAACCCAAGTCACGAGCTGTGTAAAATAAACTGTAAAAATAGTTTTGCCTGTAATTTCAATGCACACTTGAGTGGTAACCACAGTTTCCATGGAAACGCACAGTTTTCACATTGGGGGGAGGATGTGGCCTAATGGTTAGGGTTTGTTTTGTAGCTTCCGATCATAACATTGGGGGTTCGAATCCAGCTGGTGGCAGCATATTGTGATCTATGTGCTTCTGTCCACCCAGGGGTAGATGGGTACCTGTGAGGGCAGATAAAGTTATTATGTTTTGCCATTTGCGCCTGAAATAGCAGCATCGGGCTAGTACACTCCCCAGGGAGCTGAGACGGTTTCCAGAACGTTCAGATGTTGTGAGCAGAATGTGCAGGCGTAATGATAATAAGCACTTTGCATCCTCCGTTAACCCTAACACTCCTCAATCCTTCACCTGTTGGAGAACTGAGGAGTGTTAGGGTTAATTTGGCACTGTATAAGTGTTATCGTTATTATTATTTCTACTTTGCAACATTTCCAGATCCACAGACGAGACGTGGTCATCCCCTTCAAAGGCCTCTGCCCAGCTGTTTCCATGGCGTCGCCGGGGCAGATGGTACGGTTCAAGGCCCGCTGCGATTGGTCCAGCCAGGAGGAGGAGATGGTGATTGACAGCTGCGAGGACGATTGGGCGCGGCTCCACGACGTCACAGTACACGGCCAGGTAAAAAACAGAAAAGATCAGCTCCAAATTCTAACGATTCTCTTTTCTTTGACAGTCTTGCATTTCACTATCCAAGTGAGTCAGAGACAAAACATTTTCAGAAAGCAGGATGCATCACCCTGAGGAAGGCGATTTACGAATTGAAGGTCTTCCACCACAAGAACGTTGACGTTGTGGTTTGGCTTGCTGAAAGCTCATTGTTTATTCATACAGCGAGGTCAAAGTGCATTCGGCATTTTTCATTTGAATATGCAAAAACTATGTAGCTTCCTCAAAGGAGGTGAAAGCACCAATGGCAGATGTCCCTGAGCTGTTACACTTGAAAATGTGCTCAGCACAGAAAATATTTGCTCAGCAGGAACAGTGTCAGCGAAAAGTTAAGGGATATGTATTAGATGTATCAAGTATTAGCCAATTTTTTGACTCAGCACTTCAGTGTGCTAAGCAAAATCTCATTCTGAATACCTTACTTTTTCCAGTAATTACATATGTTTTTTATTGAGTGTACCATTTCTTTCCTTGACTATGTAAAACATGCTTCCCCCAGATCCTTGCCTACGCCGGCAGAGGCAAGACCATCGCCGACGTCGGCCTGGCCCAAGCCAGGAAGCCCCTCAGCCCAATGAATCACTACTTTGAGCTGGAGATCATCGACCCGGGTAAGAACTGCTACATCGCCATTGGCCTGGCCAAGAAGGATTACCCCAAGAAGAGGCATCCAGGCTGGAACTACGGCTCCATAGCGTATCATGCAGGTACTGTGCACCTGTAGCTACTTAAGTCAGGACTTTGGAAGTTGGCTTCCGTGGGCGAGGTTTGGCGACCCAAACCACAAACATGTTTGAGCTGTGGTCATTGGTGAATCGTTTTTGCGACTTTGGTTGTGCTTCTGTGACGTTATTGTTCCAACTGAAAGAGAACCAAAGGTTGGAGTTGGTTCAGTGCCGGTTCAAATATGGCGATAAAAAAACATGCCCCATATTTGCTTTGAAGAATCAATTGGGTATTTGAAAAAGACAAGGTCACTAGAGAACAAAGCATGCTCGAGAGTTGGCATATGGCCACACTGATCAGGCAGACCTCATGCTAGTGAAAAGACCTCCATCATGGTGCAGCCATCTTGCTTTCCTTTGATTCAAAGCATTGCTACCATACTGAGGCTGGAAGGAAAAATAGTCTGATCCCTTTTATCAATGTGTGAGGTGGTATTACTTTTGCCAATGGGTCTGAAGGGAACAAGACAAATATGGCAGTATCATTATAAGCATCCGTTGCTGTCCCGGAATGTGTATTCTTGATATGGGACATGGGCTGTTGGAATACCAAGCTGGCTCCCTGAAAAGAGGCATGCAAGCTTTTGTCCGATTGGCTGATTTCCTGTTTTGTTTACTTTTCAGAAATTTTACAACTGGAAAAGGATTGTACAAAGATATTTTGCCATTTAGAATTTTTTTTTTTTTTGTAGAGGGTTACAGCATTCATGCCCGGCTGACTGACGGACAATGCTGATCTCAAGTACATGTAGATTGTGACTTTTTATTTTTCCTTTACAGACGATGGCAAGATTTTTAAAGGGAGTGGCGTGGGCGACTCCTTCGGCCCTCGCTGTCACAAAGGGGACATCATGGGGTGTGGCATCATGTTCCCAAGGGACTACATCATGGACAGGTTAGTTGAGGAATGAGACTTTCAAGTTTAAAGCTGTAAGAACGTGACTGCCAAAAGGATGAGGTGGAAACTTCTCAGTTTAAAAGTGTTCTTCCTTTCTGGTTTACAAGTGCTTTATTTACGAAATTTTATATATTAGTATAAAAAGAACAAGATTTGATTAAGGATTTTATCGGGTATTTATTATCAGGCTACTATTAAATTGCCTCTTTGTTTTCTGATTCATAGTTATCCAATTTAACGTGCTGGTATTCTGTTACTCCAAAAACAAAATTAAATTCAATCAATGAAATACGAAATCAATTGGAGCTTTTTCAAATCATTTCAGGCTTCTTACAATCACAGATTAGAGTTCTTTGTCATAAAAAATGCACAAAAGGTTTAGTTTCTTTCTCATTGAGAAATACAAGTAGTTTTCAGTGTAGACATCCCTTATAATTAAGTTCCAGCTCCCACAGTGTCAAATCTGTTCGCTCAATTCTCAGCACTGCACTCAGGTATTTATAGGGTTTCTGTCGTCCAGATCAATTTGTGACACCAGGTAGCACAGGTGGGAGGGGTAGTGTGGTTGACATCAAAAGTGACCACTGATCATCTAAATTTAACGAAATGGCCAAACCTTACAAGAACCACATTTCTAATTTGGAAAGAAATGGTAAGTTCCTGACTGTAATTTAAACTTCAAAATGTCGGGGTGCCCGGTACCGGAGAGCTTGGCTTTGTACACTGAGCCGGGGTGCCCGAAATCGGACAAAGCAGCTGGGCCTTGAAGCAAAAGACCAGACTCGGAACAAAAGACTGAGCTGCTGGGAATTGCCAATCAATTTTCGTATGCTGTCAGCACAGAGTGCTGGATTAGCAGAGGTAATCCTTCATTGTTTTGAAACAGTACATTTATATCATTGAATGCGTCATTCAGTGCCTGCGGATTATCAGCGGGGACAAAAGCACTCCAGCGATGAGCGATACTATACCGCGGTACGCTAATCTGGCTGCATTTATAAAGATACCACTGCCGTTCAGCAACTTACTAGGCAAATTTCGGGAACAAAAGAAATTACGTAACACCGCACAATGTGAGCTCTCTTTACTGGGTGGCAGGCCTGGCTGCAATACCTGGGCGTCAATGGAGGTTGCCTGTCAGATTAGAGTAGCCACCAGACAGTCATTTGTGTGGGTGTAAGCATCCAGTAAATGAAAATATGAATTTTTGAAGAATTTTGAAAATGGAAAATCTTGAAAATCACCCGGGAACTCATCCTGCATGTGCAAATTCCACCTGGCAGGAAGTGGTTAATAGTTCTTGAATTAAATTACACAGCTGAATCTTTCAACCTTGACAAATATGACTGTACAATCAAATGAAAATACATCCACAAATTCTATTGATATTTTCAGTGAAGGAAAGGAACTTCATCTTATCAAAACATCATTGAACTTTATGGAATAATCTGCCAAAATAAGTAAGGTATTTGCACTTGCCAGTTTCTTTTGTGAAAAGTACTTGAGATGGTTGAGTTCTGCTTCACTGCTGGCCTGGACAACAAAATCTGACAGGCTGGGTTTTCCTCGGTTCTGTTCTAACTGTGACAGGCTAGTTGTTGCATGAGACACGTGAATTTGTGCCTCTAAATTGTGTCTTGTGGCCAACGAGAAGATGCTTCAAGGGAGCAACTCAAATGTCATGCTGACATAGCGGAATCATCTGGCATTCTGACTCTCAGCCTAGCCATGGTACTTTCCACATCACTTCCATTTCACACTTCACTCCAACAAGCTCAAGATAATGTTTTAATAATAAAAGAGGCAGCTTCTTGCCAGAGCCTGGCTGACCTAATTTACTAGTTTATTATTCAACACGTCTGGAGTGAACATTTAACCAACTCGTCAGGAGAGGGGAAAAACTTCCTAGTGGACTCGCATCTCTAATTCAACTCTAAACAATACTTCCTATCAGTGAATGAAAACTGTGCAGACTACACAAAAGACCTGCATGGAAGGACTCCAACTGGAGGGTGTATATACAATGAGAAAGTTGCTGAAAGTTTCTCATGGCCTGGTCAACTTAAAATTAGAGGGGGGGAAAGAACATTCCATTAACCGCTTTCTGCTGGGTGGAATGTGTTCCCGGGCGATTTTTCAAGATTTTCCATTTTAAAATTCTTCAAAAATTCATAACTTCATTTACTGGATGTTTATACCCACACGAATGACTATGTGGTGACTACTCTAATCTGACAGGCACCCTCTATTGACGCCTGAGTAATGTGGCCAGGCCTGCCACCCAAAGAGAGTCCAGAGCAGTGTTGTGTAATTTCCTGTTTTCCCGAAACTGGCCCAGTGCGTTACTGAATGGCAGTGGTGTCTTTTCAAATGTGGCCAGATTAGCATGCAGCGGCACAGTATCACTCATTGCTGGACTGCTGGAGCACTTTTGTCCCCAGTGATAATCCACGAGCACTGAATGCTGCAAACAAGTGGTATACTGTTTCAAAACAATGACGGATTACCTCTGCTCATGCCAACTTGAAAATGATGGTAATTTCCAGCAGCCCGGTCTTTTGTTCCGAGTACAGTCTTTTAATACAAGGCCCAGGTCCTATATCTAACTTCGGGCACCCCGGCTATGGGTATAAAGCCAAGGTCTCCGGTACCGGGCACCCCGGCTATGGGTATAAAGCCAAGGTCTCCAGTACTGGGCACCCCGGCTATGGGTATAAAGCCAAGGTCTCCGGTACTGGGCACCCCGGCTATGGGTATAAAGCCAAGGTCTCCGGTACTGGGCACCCCGGCTATGGGTATAAAGCCAAGGTCTCCGGTACTGGGCACCCCGGCTATGGGTATAAAGCCAAGGTCTCCGGTACTGGGCACCCCGGCTATGGGTATAAAGCCAAGGTCTCCAGTACTGGGCACCCCGGCACAGAGTAGTTAAAATCTGAGGGATTAAAACAGTACACTCACCAAAACCTAAAAAAGAAAAGAAAAAGGAAAAGAGAGTCTTACAAAGTATTCTTTTATGCTGCCATAAATTGAAACTGTGCAAAACATGTCTAGCTTGTACTTGCCAGAACCTTTCTTCTTACTCATCCACGGCCTGTTTAGTCCCAACTCTGGAGGAGTTTGGCCCGGTGGTTATAGTGGTTTGTGACTCATAATCAGAGGGGTTAGGGGTTCCAATCTGTGGCCTGTGCGAGCCATTTTACCCCTGCTAGTTTTTCTCCTCCCAGGAGTAAAAAAAAAATGGCCATTGGCATTAGCCGGGGAGCAATTTGCTATTAACTAGCATCCCTTCCAGGAGGGAATAGAAGTTATTTCCTGCCAGGGATCGGAGATTAGGAACAACCAGATGACCCACATTTGCTGGGACGATACTTTCTTCTAAACTCTCCAGCGCTTGATTTTTTTGTCGTTGACCCACAGTGATGAAGGTGAGAGCGACAACGAAGACGTGGGCGTGGTGAAGGCATGGCAGGACCGGGAGGGGCCCTTCAACCGGCTGAACCGGCTGGACCGCCTGGCCCAGGACAACTTTGCCCTGGATGTCTATGACCTGTCCGAGGACGAGTACGAGGACTACCTGTCAGAAGAGGAAGAGGAGGAGGAGCCACAGATTGATGGGGTGCATCAGGGCGCCAAGGTGCAGGTGCATGTAAGTATGCTATGATTTGAGGGAGGGGGAAGTTTTGAATTAAGAGAATGGGTGGAGCTATGGAGGATGGTGGGTGGAGCCTTCAAGAGGAGTGGGTGGAGCCTTGAAGGGAATGGGGTGGGGACATGGTAGGCAGTGGGTGGAGCAAGGAGTTGAATGGCTTTAGTAATGAAATAGTGGGCAGAGCCATGGTGGAGTGTGGGTGGAGCCATGCATGATGGAAAGTGGGTGGAGCCATTGTGTTGAATAGGTGAAAGACAGAAGGAGGAGCCAGTCAGGGGCAGTATTAATTGCTCAGATGAAGTTTAAAATTTGCTTCTTTCAAGAATCTGAAATCAGTTTAGTAAAAACCCATCAGTTATTGTTTTCAGTGTCATTTCTATGTGTGAAATCCAGGTGTTCTTCACTAGAAATGGAACGACAATAGGGAGAAGAGAGGTGCATATTCCAGGCTCGGGCTTCTATCCAACTATCGGCATGCTCAGCTTAGATGAAAAGGTTCGGGTTGACCTTCGACCCCTGAGTGGTTGACCCTCTACCTTTGCCCCTGAAGTTAGGAGGTTTTTGGTAGCGTCTCCATTTTTGTTAATATTTGTCTTGAAAGTACTTGCGCAAGTCATTTCATAGTGACCAGTGTGACATTTGACCTTGAAGGTCATGACCTCTGACCAGCCAATCACTGTAGTGAATCTGCAGTTAGGAGTTTGTTTCCACCCAGTCAAGAAAGAGAATAGTTGCCAACCTACTTGAAGCGCAAAAGAAGACTGTAAGACAAAGTGCTGTCCAAAGTGTCCAGAAATTTTGACTCGTGACAAAACAAACAAGCTCTTGCCTTCAAGCTCCTTTCTGCCTATTCTGTGCTAATCTTCACAAATGCAGTGGATTCCTAATCACTGGCAAATAACCTTATGCTGCTGGGTTTAATTGAAGTTGCATGACGTATTCCCGGGGGATTTTCCAGATTTTACATTTTCAAAATTCTTCAAAAATTCATAAACTTCGTTTACTGGATGTTTACACCCACACAAATGACCGACTGGTGACTACTCTAATCTGACAGATAATACGTATTGACGCCCGAGTATTTCAGCCAGGCCTGCCATCTTGTAAAGAGAGCCCAGATTGTGTGGTGTTACCTAATTTTCTTTTGTTCCTGATATTGGCCCAATTCCCCTCGTGGCATCTTTTCAAATGCGGACCAAAAAAATGTTGGCAATTCCCAGCAGCCCTGTCTTTTGTTCCGAGTACGGTCTTTTGTTACAAGGCCCAGCTCCTTTTCCCAAGTTCGGGCAGCCCGGCTTTGCATATTAAGCCAACATCTCCGGTTGCGGGAACCCCGGCACAAAGTCGATAAGGGTAAGTTTGGGCGTGGACTATAGTTCGACCAGTAGTCAATTGCTTTTTAACAATGCGCATGCGCAAAGCAGTTACACCCGAACAACCCCGGTTGGTCAATGTTTTAATCTCATTGCTACTCACATTTCACCATTGGCTGCGAGTCTGGCAGGGTACATGGTCATTGAAAATCTCGTACAATTGTTTCATGTGAATGGTTCCCTCTGTAATGATAAATGAAATTGGCTATCGATGACCAGCAGTGCGACCATACCCCTGAAACTACATGGTCCCAAGTGACTTTCTAGTGGACACTAGATAATCCAAACCATCTGTCGTTTGGGTGGTTTTAGTCAAACTGCAGTAACCTGTACTCGTCGCTGGAATTCGCCTTTTGTTCCCATGTGCAGCTGAATACAGCCTGTAGTGCCCTTGTGGTTCACTGTTTCCATCTTTTGTGTCTGTCTGTGGTGACCTTTCCCTTTTGACCCCAACTAGGGTCTTTGTGGTCAGCTGACGGCCGTTTCTCAGATCCCAGCTTTGGCTTCGCCTTGAGCATCCGGCTCAACCTGGGTCCTTCTTTATTGCTTCTAACTGGGCCAAGAGGTTATCACAAATGATGATAAACAAATGATGAGCTAAGAAGGTAAAAAGACCGGCATGTTCTAAATCGGTCCAGTAAATGGCCCACGATTACCACACAGAAGACAAAGCTTAGATTTCAGAAAGGAAAGCAGTGTCTATATTTCTGAATCACTTCAGTACCCTCTTCGGTGGATTAAAAAAAAAAAGTACTGAGAATGTTGTGTGTGACGGTGTTAACGTGTTGGTTGTACGAGGAGAATCAATTGTGTGTTGTGCAACTGTTGCGCTGCGTATTGCAGGTGTCTGGAAAAGATATTCCTTAGTGGGTATTTTAGGTGCCGTAGCTTCTAAAGATGGTAACTAGTCAAGTGATGGAACTCTGAGTTGTAGGCCTTGTCCAAATTACTTGGCTACGGCTTGGAATGCAAGCAAATCTATGATAGCAGCTGCGGCCTCTTCCCATAGAGTTGTGTGATTTCAAGCCGCAGCCAAATAATTCAGGCATGGCCCAATAGACCTTTATCATAATGCTGCCATGTTTGTCTTGTTCCCTGCACACCTATTGGAAATAGTAATACACTTGCACATGTTGATAAAAGGAAACAGACTAGCTTTTCTTTCCGCCTCAGTATGGTTACATTGCTTTGAATGGTAGAAAAGCAAGATGGCTGCCCCATGATAGAGGTCTACTCCACAGGTTTCCCTGTTGGAAAAATGAAGCCATCTGCAAATAAACCGGATGTGGCTATAGTAGCACATAACTGTATGGAATATAGCTGCAGCCACTTACCAAATTAGCAGATAGCTACTTGGACATGTGGCAGAGTAGAAACGAAAGTAACCAAATGTTTATTTTTGCTATGTATGTATAGATGCACAGAACACTGATTAGCTGTGTCGTTGCTGTGCATTTCTTGTTTGGATCTGTGGACACTGTGTCATGTTTTGCGCTTCAAAAGGCTTTATGTAAAAAAAAAATTAAAAATGTGTATAAAGTATATGAAATAACAATATATATATTTGACTTTATGCAACTGATGCTTAAGTTGGGGTGTAGGTTTTGACATTGTTAGCAGAGGCAGGGGAAGTAGTTTTTGTATTATTTGTTGGTTCCAGTTCTACCCAGAACTTGGGGGAGGGGGAAGTTCCATCATGATCCCAAGTTGAACAGGTATTTCTTGAAGTTCAAACAGAACAGGCCTAGATACCAGTCTTCCCACCTGTTGAAAATAATGGCATTCCTTGGCCATTCATCATGGAGCCGTTCCACAACACAGACGCCACTACACAAAACATGTGGCTGCCGTAAATGCACTATGTTGGATCCCAGATTTTTGCAGCGTTCACCCATGGTCAGTTTGCTGGACTGCAGTGAAAGCGAGGCTGAAATGGCACACTTTAGTTTGCTACTGAGATTTCTGCGTGTCAAGAGCAGGCTACACGTTGAAATTGCAGAGTACGGGTCCTGCAAGTGCAGCCTCGCTTTGGTTCCAGCAGCAAGAATCCATTTGGATGGGTAATACTCAATACACCCATCTTGATAGCCATGGATGATACTGTTGTAATGGCATTGCATGGTACTCTTGAGTTGACAGTGGTTAAGGATCATGAAGGAAAATGCCGTAGTTGTTTCGAGAAGAACAAACACTTTCTTCCCCACTAATTTTTTACACAGTACACGGCTGCTGGTTTGCTGGTCTCTGCATTATAGCGTACTGTTATATACAGCATAGATGTACGTTTAGAAAGCACACCTTTCTCAACTCGCAGAAATATTAAGCTGTTGCGTAGGCTGATCCTCGACCACAGCAAAATGTTTAGACTTGATGCAGTAATAGAGGTCTTTCATGTGATGTAACATGACGAGCAAAGGCACGTCAGGAAGCATACCATATCCGTGGAGGCGTGTTCATCTTCGAATCTTTGTTGGCAAATTCATGTACGCCTACATGTTGGAGAGACTTCGAAGGTGTGCACGTTTCGGCTCGAAATACGGTGTACATTGAACGCTGACCGTCAAAAATCATGTGGCTGAAAATCTTCTGCTCTCCTGGCAATTTATTGGGAATTATTGGGAATCAAGGAACTTCATAGGTTACATGTAAATCACTGGTCAGCCACTGCAGGGAACCATTGACACTTTCTTTACACATGCACTTTCCCATGGAACCAGTGGAGGCCCATAATCCACAGAGCCCTGAAGGAAACACAGTAAACAGTGTGGCATCATCAGCACCGAGGCCTGTGAAAGAAAAGTTCATTAAAAATATGCATGTTTCCTTGGTATTGAATTGAAAATCAGTATTTGCTTGGAAACAGGTATGCCCAAAATAAGAGTTACAGGTCAGCAAACGTTGGAACACAATTTGCTCAAATACAGTTATAAAAAGCTGCTCGCTCACAGTTGCTGTCCATGTCCCTGAAAACTGACCATCCTCAGCTTGCAAGGTTTTTGTGTTATTCAAATGAGCATCAGCAACATAGGCAAAGAGAATCACTTGGCCAAAGTGGTCCATCCATTTTGCTGTGGTTAGGAATGCTTTTCATAGCAGTGGACTGAAAGTATAAATGTAGTTTTGATGTATAAATTTGATGTAATTTAGTACAGTACAAACTCAAAGCTCCACTGTATAATTGTAAACTCGCGCTTCAGAAAGAAAAAATTATGCTCCGAAGACTTGTACATTGTTGTAAGATATTAGAAAATAATTTGCTTTGAATTTTCCGATAGAAATTGGGGAGGACCAAGTTAAAGATAACTCACAAGACTGGAGAGTTGTTGCTTGTTGCTGTTGTGGGCAATAGCTTTTTTTTTCTTGAGCGTTTATGTATGGAATGAATTGGACACACGTGTATGTAGCATTGTGTAGTTGTAACTCACACGGGTATTTTTATGAATGCCTGTAAATGGTTTCTTTTGTTGCATCTTCCGTTGTAAAGCCGCTTTTGTTCAAGTTGGTATAAGAATTTTGCTTTCTACTGGTATTGCCTTATGTTGATAACATTGAAGCAGAAAGTTGACTTTCCAACGTTTGGATTTGCATATCAAGTGATAATCGGGAGCATTGTAGATTCAGAATGAGCTGTGACCAATTCTTGTGGAACTGCATAATTGATCCATGGCAATATTCTTGGCAAAAAAGGATAAAACAGTAATCGATTGCGTCCACTAAACCACCTGACCGATAGTGGGTATCAACTCCATATCAACGTGTTTTGAGTGTTGTTTTACAAACAATACAGCCAAGTTATGGTAGAGTACCCAGCACATCAGTAGTCCGAGTACAGTACCTACCGTCGTTTTTGTTTTTGGTAAATGATATTTATGAAGCACTTTTTGTGGACGTCGTGTTGGTTGATGTTTAATATCCACTACAGGTCCTGTGACTGAGCTGGCTGGTCTGTCGTATTGCAATACATGTAAACTGGCATTTTGGGTATATTGGTTGCTTTTTGTTTTTCTTGCTTAGCACATATCTCTGCTCAGCAGTTTTATTTACTTTGCTGTTTCACGGTCTTGAACCCAGCAAGTACAAAGTGTGATTGTAGTCAAGTGAACCTGTATTGTGTACATTATGCGGTAATTTTTAAATGTGTCACAGTGCTATGATTATGTCTATCATAAGTCATCATCCCGTCACAAGTCATTCAAATGAACCGTGACAGAAGCCTTACTCTGTCATCATTCGCCCAGTTTCTTACGACTGGTCTTGTGAGTGAACTTGGGATGGGCTAAAAACACTGGCACGTTTAGGAAAAGGTCCATGTTCTATTGTGCTCACTGGGAAAATACGAGGTTGTCGGTGAATTACAGGATAATTTTTTGGGGTACAAGTCCCAGTGCAGAGGCAGTTTCATATACCACACGTGTTTCCAATCTGTCCAGTGGTTTGCTTCCAGACTTCATCAATCATTGATTTTGATGACGTCTGTTCAGTACAAATTCCTTTTCCTCTCCGAACTAAAAAAATTCCTTTGTCTTCCATTATTTTGAAATTGTGTTACTTGAACAATTTAATCTTGACAAATTTGATTTGTAATTGGATCTGGTGCAAAGGGAAGGTATTGAATCAGTGCGAATGTCTCCTTGTAATCACGCATTATTTATATCTAATTAGCATAACGTACATTACTCATGAATTAACACCATGCACGTGATCATGTTGAACTTGGTACATGCAATCTGAATTCAGGATTTCTGAGTTGTTTATACATCGAGGAAACGTTTGTCAAATTGTGTTCCTCTTTGATATGAGATATTAAAAGCAACTGTTGCTCTTGGAAGGATCATTGGACGTGAAAGCTGATTCTTTCCCTACCCCCCAACTCCCTGGTCTTACCGATGGATGCTTGTACAGAACCTTAAAGATACTCCAGTGCCAATTTGTACAAGTATTTGCACCCACCACTTTGGAATGGCTTTGTATTGGCACACGTCTTTGAGCAGGCAGACTTTAACGACGGGAACCGTATACCTACAGTGTCAATGCATTATGTTACCACAAGCCATGTCCACAAGTCAACGGCTGCGACTTGAAATAACACCTGTGCCAATGGATGCCACCACCTACTGATACCTAGTGCCTGCAGCCGCTTCCCATATTCACGTGCATCTCTGAGCCACAGCCAATTCAAGTGCACACGGTCCCAGACCCCCCCCCCGAGTCCGCATCTGCAAAAGTTGTCATTTAGCTGCCGACGACGGACAAAGAAAGCTTTGTGGAAATACATGTGCAATCAGAATGAGACATGCGACAGCGGGACAAACACGGCGGAAAAAGATCACCACCACGGACTGAATTTCAGTTTTTATAAGCTCTGCTTCTTTAATTCTTCCACGACATTTCCCCGACTTGTTGAATAAACTTGCATCTTCAGCCTGACACGGTCCTTTTCAACGGTCATCACCATGCAGGATGTATATATACATGGTTCAGGCTACAGCACGGCACGGGGCTAAAAAGACCTGTTGTGTTTATTCCTGTGGGAGACAGAAAGTACGTACGGAGGAAAAAGTACGTCAGTTAAAGGGCCAATCGGAATTCACTTCAAAAAAGAAGCTTCATGAATTGCAGTCAAACCTCGTCAACACGTTCACTGCCGCGCAAAGCTCCAAAGGGGCATTCCCATTTGCCAAGCGTTGTACGTATGCGCGTGCATTTAACAGGTACCGTTCACGCGACTAGTTGAATATGAGTATTTTACGGATGCAAGTAGACGGCAGTTAACGTGTCGACAAGTACTGTTTATGCTAACAACAAGGAAATTTTTAGGTCTCAATACGGCCGTTTCACAATAGTGCGCCACCAAGAGTTTGTAATGCATTAGCCAATCACACTGCGCAAAATTTGTGGACCCAATGCGTGTTTGGAAATGGTCGACAATTTTCACGGGTTATGATTGGACAGCGTGTTGCAAACTCTTGGTGGCGCACTATTGTGAATCGCCTGTATTCTTAGTTCATTGTTTTCATTCTAGTAATACAAGGATCCTGTTATAAGAAGGTTATCTTCAAAGTCCGAAGGACCTCAGGAACCAAAGGTGGAGACTTCAGAAGTGTTTTTTTTTCCCAGAATTTTGCAATGCTCTAGAATGTTGGTTCCAGAATCCTGGGACTGCCTCTTTGACCAGAGCCTGACGGCACAGGACGATCTTCAACCAGAAAGATGCAAAAGCTCACCTCTGGAACTTCAATTTCTTCATTGTTGATCTTCTCGATGACGTCGTGCGGGTTCATGCCGTCCACCGTGCAGCCCACTGACTGCGCCGTGCCCAGGATCTCCTTGACGGTGCCAGATAGCTCTCGGGCCATGGAGCGCTCCCGCATGGTGCGGGCGATCTTGACAACCTCGTCAAAGGCTATGTTGCCATTGTGCTTGACTTGATGAGGGGAAGACAGGACAAAACAATGGCAGCTGAGAAACCTTTTGCTCTGTCAGACCCTCTCGCAATTATACTTTTGTTTCTATGACCACATGACAAATATACCGCTCTTGACACTGAGAAAGTTAGCCACTTCTGCCAGGTTTCATTTGATTGTGCATGACGTAAAACCAGGGGATTTTCAAGATTTTCCATTTTCAAAATTCTTCGAAAAATCATAAATACATAACATGAATGACTGTCTGGTGGCTACTCTAATCTAACAGACACCATCTATTTCAGCTAGGCCTGCCACCTGGTAAAAAAAGCCCAGATTGTGCGGTGTTACATAAGTTTCTTTTGTTCCGAAACTGGCACAGTGAGCAGCTGGCTCTTTTCAGTGGGGGCCACATTAGCGTGTAACGGTACTGTATCGCTCATCAGTGGAGGGCTTTTATCCCTGGCGGTAATCCGCTCGCGCTGAATGCCACACAGTGGTATAATCTTTCAAAACAATGACAGATTTCCTCTGTTATTGATGTTGAAACAGTGTTAGCAATTCCCAGCAGCTCTGTCTTTCGTTCTGAGTATGGTCTTGTTATTAGGCCCAGCTTTTTTGTCCAGTTTCGGGCTCCCCGGCTTCATGTATAAAGCCTGTGCACCCGAAACTGGGCACCCTGGCAGGAAGTAGTTAACCCTAATTCTGACATTCTTGCATAATGGGGAACAAGACCTTGGGCATATTTGAGAGCTTTTTCTACAAGCAGGAATGTGAGTGGCCACTTAAAATTAAAGCTGGAAAGTTCCCACACTTCAGTACCAACCGGGCGTATAAAAAACCTGAAATTCGGAATCAACATCTAAACAAAAAGCAGATTTTTTAGCTAAAAAGCTGAATTCTCACACCCCATGTAAATGCTGGCCAAGCTCAGTTTTGTTGGATGTTTCTGGCCCCGGGTCTCTCCGGGCCACACGTAGACAAGTACGTGCACCAATTGAACATCTATCTTACAAAATTTGCGGCCCCCGAATCTTTAAATTCAAAATTTTCCAGCACTGATAATACAAGGTCCTTCTGATTGTTCCCCGTGAGGGACTGGTTGCTACTCACTGTTCTTGACCTTCTTGCGGTCGCGGGGCGGTTCCTTCAGCGCCTTGATGATCATGGAGGAGGCCGAGGGGACAACCGAGACTTGTGCCTGGCGGTTCTGGATGGTCAGCTTCACCGTGATCTTCAGCCCCTTCCAATCTTGCGTGGCCTTGGCAATGTCGTCACCGACTTTCTTGGGGGACTGCCAGGTGGGAGGTGAATGGATAAAACTAAATTCCATGCGAGAGATTAACCCCTAACCTTACCAAACGCACCACAGTCCATCAGGCCAAAAAGTCTGATGCACTTTAATGCACTCGGCAATCAGCAGCAGCCAAAAAAAAACCTGGCCACGTTGAGACAATGGGAGCTACATGTAGTCCCATTGAACAATGCCACTGTTGGACCTTGTGGTAAATTGCAACCAGACTCCCAGGCTGTTTGGCATTTGGAAGACTTGACCTGTTGGATCTTGTTACACTGGGCAGGCATGCCACTTTGACAAACGGTGCAGTTTGATGCATCTGGCAGGGTTTCTACCGGTAGCTAAAGTAGGCTGGGGGTTAGAGTTAGGGCATTGTATTTCTGGTGCAATGGCTTTGCGGTTAGCACCGCAGACTTTATTTTCCCACAGCGTTATAACATGCAGGGATAATGGAATTCTGTTATGGTTAACGTTCACAACCCTTTTTTGCCCCGTTTGCTATTGAAATCTTAACTTGGCAGTTTTTTCCATGAGGGATACTCAGATTTCCGAAGACTACCGCATTCTGTCCCTTATATCCAATTCAAAATGCAGTGGCACTTTAGTATCACCATATCAACCCGAGGAACAACATTCTTGAACCTTTTTATATTCCGCACTGTGTGACAAATAACCACGCCAATTTTGGACATGAAACAAACTTTGGATATCAAGCCAAATGTAAAGCAAACAGCGTCTCATATCATGTCAAAACTGGGCTTCCAGAACTATGGCTAGGTCTATTGCCTGCCAGTCACTGCGTATCTAATAATACAATGTAATAGTCAGTATATCTAATAATAATAGTCAGTTCTTATATAGCGCATACCAGGGAATGTATCTATTCGCTTATTATCCCTGTACATTGGGCTCACATCATCTGAACATTCCTGAAACCATCTCAGCTCCCTGGTGAGTATACTAGCCCAATGCAGCCATTTTTGGTGCAAACAGCTAAACATAACCGTGTCTGCCCTCACAGGTACCCATTTACTCCTGGGTGGAGAGAGGCACATAGGGGTAAAGTGACTTGCCCAGGATCACAACATGCTGTCCCCAGCTGGATTCGAACCTCTGACCCTATGATCAGAAGCTACAAACCCTAATCACTCGGCCACATGTCCCCCTTTATTTCCAATGAAGTGAAGACCTACATGTAGACGTAGCTCTAGACAAAAGATTTGGCTGCAGCCTCGGTCTTCTGAACTGTACTGAAACTACTCAGATCCTCCAAGGGTCTGAAATGGCTCTTGGCTAACATGGGTTCCAGTGGACTGGGTGGCAGGTTGAATGGTCAAGATGGCATCTTTTGGGGGAGCGGGACAGGAGGGAGGGAAGTCACAGCCTCTGGAGACAGGTCACACTTACCAGGCCGAGGGGGCCCACTTTAGGGGCGAGCGAAGAGGTTGCACCGACCTCACCACCGACAGCTCTCAGGCAAACTGCATACAAAAAAAAACAAAGAAACAGAGTCCCATTTTTAAAATTTCTTATAAAAAAACTTCCCGTCAAACTCGTCCTCAGAAATCAATGGTGGTAAAACCCTTGACTGTGTTTTTTATCCATGGGTGTGGCTTTGTTTAGTGCAAAGGACCTTCACTTATTAAGAGAAAGTTACCACTTGGGGTTTGTATCACTGGGGATCCCTATTTTTTTGTCATTTTAATCTTGTAAAACTGGTCAGCCCAACCAAAAATCAAATGCAATGCTCTCTTTACTGTAAAGTCCAGAGCTTTCTGCATTGCGGAAAATCCTTAAAAATTGTGGATTTGGGGGTAGAAAGCGGAAAAGGCAATTCTCGATAAAAAAAATTAAATAAATAAAACTCTCTGCACAATTAATCAAATAAATATGAACCCAAATTAGGAATGACAACTCATTTTCACTGTTTAACTCACTTTGAAAATTAACATTTGGTAACGTTTCCCAGCCTGTTTTTCTTTTGTGATATTGCAGAAATCGGTATTGATTTCCTCCGGCTCCGCACTGCGGAGATCACACTGGTCCCTGTTCCCTACATATACCCAGATGTCTCACGGCTTATGAATAAATCAGTAGGGACGGGAACCAGTCCAAGATCACAGTGGCATGGTGCGTGTAGGCCCTACATGTATCATTATGCCAAAGATACCTGTAGATGTACAGTAAATGTACGCCTACAGTACATATGTACAGTACATGTACATGTCCAAAGGGTTATCTTATGACCTTGTAGTCACATATTAAAATTTAGAAAGCAGAAGAAACAGCAGAATTTGACTTTCAGAAAGTAGAAAATGCTCAACTTTACTTTATAGCACTGACATTATTTTTCGGAATTTCGATTTGTAAGTTGTGAGAAAATGTGACTTTCTAACTGATAAACCAGCCATGCAAATAGGAATCCGCAATGTGGTTTTTGTGTTAAAACACTCAGTTTCCCTTCATAATTTCACTCAAAAACTCAAAACCTTGCCCTCTATTCACAACATCAACCCTACGATTATTAAGTATGATGTCAAAATCACCTACCAAGGTGAATCCAAAAAATTTAAATCTAGGCCTCCCTTCTTTATAGGAACAGGGCCCCCAAATATGCCACCCCCCAAAAACAGGCATGAAGGATCAAGGATGTGGTTTTCATGTCACATCTGCCCTTGTTGCTTTGGGCATGTGAATGTTACCTGTAATGTACCCGAGGAGCTATGGGGTCCATGGTTCTGGCCCAACAGTGCAAGACCATGGTGTAAGACCATAGCCTGTATCTGTTGTGCATTTGTCCCCGTCATTGGACGGTCAACGCAGCTTTTTGAAATATTGTCCAATCGCATCGTGTAAGAACTAACGCAGCACGCGCAAAATTACTAAGCACCATACACGGGAATCGCTGAACTGGCTCAATAACTGATTGTGTGAAGCTGCCAGATTGAGGCTCAGTCTGTTTACTACATATGTCTTGACATGGAACAACCCTCGAGACGATGAGGGGTCAAGAGACGTAATGTTCAACGACCTTATTTTAAAGATGGCAACTGTGAGAGCGAGCCCGTTAGATTGAATGGATAAAGGCAAAAAAACTGGAAAATAGCTCAATAACGTGAGTGAAATCATTCAATAAATGGTTTTTAGAAAGCGGAAAGATCAAGAATCATGTTCATGTGCAAAAGAAATTGCACCCACGATTATAAGTGGGTGCGCCGAAATGTTCAATACGCCGACATGAAATTGCGCATACGGATGTGTGGCTAAGGATGGATCGGGAGCGAGGGTCCGTGCCACACTTGTGCCAGTGAGTGGGGCTAGACCAAGATTAGCCTATCAGACATGCCAGAAAACAAGTTAAAGTCATGATAAAGAGGTTAATCATCATCTAAAGTAGTGTCGTAACGGGGTCATAGGTTAGACTTGATCAGTGCGAGTTTAACCATTCACAGTGCAAATTGATCATGTCGATGTATGCGCTGTATGCGCTTACACTTACAGCACATGCAACAACATGTCCGCAACATGTGAACGAATGTAATGTTAACGCATCAATCGAAGTTGACACAACCGCCAAACACTGTCTACAATCCGGAAGAATATTTTGTATTTAATTCTTGCTTACCGATTTTGATCTCGTTGGGATCGAACTTGGGAGGCATCCTTGATGATGTATAGACTCCAAAAAGGAAGAAAACGACGGTGAAAGTGTCGGATGAGTCCGATTCTGGACACTACCGAAAAGTTACACTGACACCTCTCAGATGGTGGTTCTGCGAAAGGCCGAGAGAGCGCCCTCAATTGGTTAAATATATTGAGTGTAAACAACCGCCGGCGGTGTAGCGAATGGTCTGCGCTAGTAAGCAGGAGGTCGTGGGTTCGAGTCCCACCTGAGTGAGCTTGTGAATTTTTTCGAAAGCTCTCGGACAAGCACCGAGTATCCATACATTTATAAATAAAGACGTTGGGTAAAGGCAAAAAAAACCTTATTATAACGCCCATTGCCACTTGGGAAAAATAGATGCCCAAATGCCATTGTCAAAACAGCAGTTTGAGGGTGCCCATTTTTTCAGAACTACATGAATGTTAGCAGTCTTGCTGGTAGCCTCTATCTTTGCTAAAAAAAAAAACCGATCACCCAGTCCATGCGCCACCAAATGCTCTAATAGCACATAATTCGACAGGATACAACCGTGATTTGGCCCACAAAGGCCTGGCCCAAATTTTGAACCAGGATTGACGTAAATCAGGGAACGGTATACAACTAAAGATATAATTTTCAGTTGTTTTCAATAATTTTATTTCGATCATCGCATTAGTTGGTTACAGCAGTCTCCACATGAGCCAATAGAGGGTTAGCCATCTTGCAGGCCAGTGCTTTTGTTCCACAGGGAATGCACAAAAGGAGCTTTCCCTGCGGAACAAAGAGCCACCCTGCAAGATGGCTACTATGCAAAGCCTCAATTCACGTGTTTAACTTGGAGCAATCAGCCACACATTTCAGATAAGAAAGGAAAAAATGTGGGCAATGTTGGCAGTTGAAAAGAGGGAAAAATATTAAAATAACCAAACTGTACTTGCCCACTCAAGCATTCAACCAAACTTGCCAACTGTTGCATGAAAATGATGATTAACTTGCTCACTTGGTGATCAATTAATCTGCTGGTCTCATTTTTCAGAATAGAACAACTGCTTCAGAAAGCTCAAACTGCATGTATTTCACACTAAAATTCTAACTTAACAGAAACTTTAGAAAACTCATGAGACGGAACAAAACTTTGTGCTCATTTCATTACATTCCAGACATGCCACTAATGCACGAGAAGGGCGATGTACATCATGCACCACCAAATTAACCTTTGCTGCTGTAGATAGCATGGACATCTTCTTTGCTGATCGTTTATAAAATAGGCAAAGTTTATTGGCAGTAAATCACTTGCTTAAACAGCAGCCATGTGACACAGTGGGCAGCCACATGTTTAATGTGTACAGAGGGTTTGCATGGCTGCCATCTTGTAGGCCAGTGTTTTTGCTCCACATGCAATGCACAAAGGAGGTTTCCTTGTGGAACAAAAGAACTGCCCTACAAAATGGCTACCATGCAAATCATCTATAACATAAGCCTTTTACATTTTTTATGTTTTGCTTTATAAATTGCTGATTTTTTTTCCACAGGGACTTCAAAAGTTTTCCCTTTGTTTTCTCTTTTGACAAGGGGTTCACAATTACTGCCGCAAACTCTCAATCGTGGTGACAAATACGACACTGTAACTGAATTAACCAAACCAACCTACAATGGTGAAAGGAATATGTGACTAACTTCCCTTTTTTCTACTGATGCTCGTTAAGAATCATATAACAAGCAAAAATTACTGAATAAACTTACAAAAGAGTGGTGTTTGGAAAGCCCATAATTTAGAACACAGAGACAGGAACTGTGTTATTCCTCAGTCTGTGGTCAAAGGCATGGTTACAAAAGTAAGACTGCCATATTTAGGGGCATGCACACTCAGTCAAAAATGTATGGACAAATACAGACATGACACTGTGAGTGCAGAAGGTACTGATCTCTATGCTGTTGCAATACATCAGTTGTCAAATGGGCATGGCAAATGAACATAACATAATCATTTTTGACAAAGCCTTGATATGGCCAAACATATGCCCAAAACTGTCCCCTTGCGTATGTCAAAACTATCCACCGCTGAAATTGACATCTATCCGGTCAAGTTCCAGCGGCCACACCTGAATTTTAAATAATGCATTCATCCGCAACAAAAAATATACAAAACATGAAATTAAACAAATTATGCATATATACATACATCACATGTTCTCATTTTTTTTTGCATAAATCTGTTAGCTGCTTCAAAATGACGTCAGACATTACAAGGCAATGGCAGAGAATTCTTTCTTCACTATGAAAGTGAACTGGTAAACATACACTCTGGATGTCATATTGTACACTGTACATTTTTTTTCAGGCTTTGAAAAGACAACTGTGTCACCAATACCAGAGGCGATTCACTGCATTAGTACAAAAACACACCAAGTACACAAACTGTCTACCTGTACCAGCCCCCAAAGCAACTATGCCCAGTTTCACAGAAGATATTGCCCATTTGACAGTGCGTACATTTTGGCCGACAATCATTCCCAAGAAATACGCACCACACTGCCCTCTGGCTGGTAGTGCAGTCTTTGCTCCTTTCACTTTACCAGCAACTTACTGGATAGAGTGTCATCCATGGTATCCTCACCTATAGAATTTTCGTTCCTATACAAGGGTCTGAGACAATGTGACGCAAGTGCGTAGCATCACACTCTTCCGATGAAAGCTCAGAATGTATAAATCTGTTCTCATTTCCTTTCCTGTCCCTACCACTAACTGGGATTAGTTTCCAAACCAGATTCAGCATTGTTGAAATACCAGAGACAAACTTGGCTTTATACCATTGCTGTACTGTTACTTAATTAACAGTGACTGCTCTTATCAAGTCTAATATGATTCCTCACATCTCAATGCAAAACACACCATTCCATACCCATAATGCACTGGAGTTTAAGGGGCAGTGGTAGATAAGTTCAGCAATGCATCAGAGTCCAGTTTTCAGTTGAATGGGCAAATTTGATTCAGTAGGATTTGAACTTGTGACCTCTGACCTTTACTGGCGACTTTGGTGACCAATGTGTAGCAACAGCAGTAACTAATGCCAAAATGTAAGCTCCATGCATTACTCAGAGACGGAATTGTCGGGAATGTTGGCTTGCTGATTGGGAGCAATGACTGCGATAAACATATTGAAGTTAACACTCTGCAAAAATGGTCTACGTAAGCTTTCGTTATCAGTGCAAATATGATCCCCAACATTTGTTAAACCTCCTCTCCTTCGCAGCACAAGGATGGAGACTCATGCAAGACTGTGACACATGCTGTGCACTGAAGTTAACATGCATCTCTTTGGCTTGGCAAACAAACTAACTACTGAATCTATGGCCATACCCAAATTGGGCACTACATGTAGCATTTAGGACTGTGGCTATTCACCATAACAGCCAATGGTAAAAAAGCCACAGCCACAGCCACGACATCTCCAATTTCAAAATGGCTAGATTTTACTATATCTATGTTGAAAAAATCTGCAGCTTCTTTTTACACGTGAGAGAGAATTCCTCGAAGTTTTTTCTTTAAAAGTAATACAAATACAAGTATGTTTACAACATCCCTTTCAATAAATTACTCATCACACTGATTCTTACACTTAACATCATGCCTTCTTTTTAACAACAAAAAATTTACACCGTGTTTCAACGGTTAAAAAATCCAGAAATGGACCCACTCATTGACTCTCCCGTTCAAAGTTAACAAAACTGTGACTTGGGCTTGATCAGGCTGTCTTTGAGTTGAAGTTGTCATTTAACAGATTTGCTACAACTTGAAACTGACCTTGCATCTTACTTGTCAAGCCCTGGCAAAACTAAGCACACACAACAAAATGACATTACAACTTGAATATTGGTCTCGAATTTCCAATGCAATGCACCCGCAACATCCCATCAATCTTTCAATGTGGGGACAGAAACGTGTGCAGTCTGGGGTTGAAATCTCCCCAGATTGGGGTATCTTTTGTCTTTTATTTGATTTCAAGGTAATTCCAGAAATCAAGGGTCCAATATTTTTTGTGTCCCTGTCACATATGACATATGATTTTGTAAGTTCAGAACACGCTTTCTGATTCGAAGAGTGATGAATTTAATGCAAATTACCTGCCAAACAAATAGTAATAGTTTGAAATCAAATCCGGTGATATTTCCATGTCAAATAGCAAACATCGAATGTAACTGGGACATGAAACTGTAACACTTTTGGACCCTTAATTTCTGGAATTACCCTTCTCAGAGCTTTTGGAAATGTGATGGCTGGACAAAAGTATTGGAGCAATTACATTGTACATATTTGCAAAAGGGAAAATCTTGTGCAGGAAGATCAGTAGTACGTATCTTTGCATGATTCCCTGCACATGTAAAATTTGGCACTGAGCAGTGTGAAAATACATATTCATGAGGATAAATGTCATTCATGAATACAAAAGATAAATATGAATGTCATTTCATGAATATGTATACACAATCATGAATATGAATGTTATTTAAACTTGGGCTCTATTCCAGTGACAAATGGCAGCTGCCTGTCTAATCATGCTGACCGTATGTACCAGCTTTGAATATTGTTTATCTCGAGGTTTGACAAATCCTAGTTAAATTTAGGTACTAGCTACACTGCGTTTCAATATCCTTTGCTTGTATCAATAGTGGTTTGTAAAGTTGAACAACAATCTCAACATTCCACGAAATTCTCAATATCCACAAATTTCCCAGAACACATCGTGTACAATACACTGCACATGTATGCTTGTAAAAATCTGTATATAGCTACTTGGAAAAAAATGCACTCAAAGGATGTATTCTAGATTGCAATACATGAGTAGTATTTGGCAACAATTCTTAAATACTACAGGGAAAATTCTTGGCAGTCCCGGTAAGTGCTACTGTGCTGGCACTAAAGTGGTAAATATTCAGTGCGGTAGACCCAATTTCACAGACACACAGGAGTGTGGTCCATGTGCCGTCCAGGCTTGAGCGGGAACAAGAAGTATGATTATACTGGACATTGGCGCTGAGGAATGCAGCTAAACAGTGATACTCAGGCCTGTGATTAATATCAAGGCTGCTTTTTGGGCAATGAATGGCGTATGGGTGAGATCACACACTCCCAATCAGACCAACTGGAACTGACTAGTTTTATGACACTGGATCCGGGTCATACGGTATGTACAGGGTTACCGGTAAGTTGCCTCCCTGCAATACCGAGGAGGGGAACAAATATGGACGGGGAAGAAAGTCAACGATTGACTTCTGACGAGTGCGCGTCGTCTTTACTCTCTTGGGTCGTCTGCTCCTCGAATCGCTGCTCCTCTGCCTCCCCCCTCCGCTGCTCTTCCTCTTCTTCCTCCTCCAGACGTCTCAGCTCCTCCTCGTCCTGCTCTATGAGCTGCTTGGCCAGCTTCAACTTGGAGGCCTCGTCGTAGTGCTGCTTGCGGTGGAGCTCAAACTTGCGCTTCCGATCTGGATGAAAAGGGGGTTGGGGCAAAAGCGGAGAAACTGCAGGGTCAGTTGCTCGTTCAAATCCGACACAAGGGTACGGCAAACAGTCACATTAATTTTGTTTTTCAGTCAGAGGCAAGTGAATTTGATCATTTGGTTTAGCTTTCACAAACTGACAAGTTGACCACGACAGGCCCACTGGTTGAGTGGTTAGGAATCAGCACAATAAAACCAGGAGGATAACAGTTCGAATCCTGCCTCAGTTACTGCCTAAAATTTGTCCAACAAGCTCTGGAATCACTGAGCATGAAGTACTTGTAACTTTAACCTGAAGATGGGCAAAACTCATTGAGCGAGCAAAGGCCACAAAATGAGTCTGGAGGACACAGTTTTATTTCCTCTTTTTCCACTTGCCTTTAGCAAGTGTATACTTTACTCCTCATTTGGAGATAGTGTAATTTGACCACCAGAATTAGAAGCCATTACTGCGGTGGCACAACGCTCGTGGACAGGTGGTCGGGCACGTTACATGCCTCTTCGACCAATAGGGTGTCCTGATTTGCCTAATGTACGTGCGCGTCAAGCTGAAGAATGTGCGAGTGAGTGCGGTGCCACCGCAGTTATGGCGTCCAATCGGATTAGACAGTACCGTACAATATGACGTACAAATGAAAGTGGCCATTTTGTGTGTGAAAATTGGACAATTCCTACAGATACATGTATCTACCACACAAGTTTTGTCATCAATCTAACAAAATGAGTCACAAGTCCTTCAGGCCACTCTGATCTACAGGCCTCTTTCATATTGTACATCAATATGAAACCTCAACATTTTTCACCAACTTAACCCCTTAACGCCGCATGCTTTTGACCGTCACTGCTGGGCTGCGGTATGCCCAGTATGCAAAGCTCTGTCCAGCAGCAGGCCCACATTGAAACCGCAGCTGCATGGTGAATAGACTGTATGTGTGGTATGCACTAATCCTCACACAAAGCTGCGGCTGTCGACAGTTCCATGCGAAGGGATTTATGTCCATTATCATCAGGATGGTAAACTTAGGGAAACATCGAGTCAAAAAGCTCAGTTTTCAAGTGGAAACAAAAGCAAAATAGGGCTGTCCCAAATATCCGAAAACCGAATATTCAATTAATTGTCGAATATTCAAATATAATTTTTTTAATTTGAATATTCGAATGCAAATTTATGAAAAGGAAGGGAAAATTTTCTTTGGTTTTAAATGAGAAAAATTGCACTATGGAAGCTTGTTTTAAGCAGAAATCTTACAACAGTTTGAAAAGTAAATCATTCATTAAACAATTTAAAAGAAACAAAAATTTTCAACAGGGCAAGAAGTCTTGTTCGTCTCTTAAATCTTGCTAAATAGTGGCTGGAGATACTCCTAGACGTGAGAAGCTATTATATTGATCATAATGTACAATTGTGCGTGTTATTGCAACTGATTTTGTATATAGATTGTTCATCAACAATCTGCTGGTCGGTGCAACCAAATATTTGGATATTCGATCAAATAGAAGGTTACATATTTGAATATTGAATTATTTGAATTGACTCAGCCCTAAAGCCAAACTTACTAAAAATGGCCTTTATTTATTGATGTCTGACTCATTTACTTTACTCTAACCATGCCAAGTCCCACGATATCCATCAACAGGCTCTTTCTGTGAAATTTTACTGATGTGGGCAGTGAACAAAACGCCTTGTGTTCTAAATGTTGTATTCTATTGGCTTCAGCTGGGTGCCTGGAAAAAAACCAGAAGGGGACTGGGGTAAAAGGAATCCTATCTTTCCCTGACCTTGGGCCTCTGGCGACATCAGATCTTCATCCTCTTCGTCACTCTCGTCCTCTTCCCCAGGCTCTTTGTCCCACCACCTCCTGTCTTCCGTGTCCATCTCTAGTCTACAAGGAAATTGCCCACGCCATCGCTTTAATACAGAGTGTGGCTAAAACTTCAAAAATGAATCAAAATGCATTCAGCGTCGAAGCATTTAGGTTACTGGAGTAAAACATGCCTTATAATCTGAGGATCTATCCATTTTCTTTCGCTGTTACATGTATCGGGACTGTGCAAAATATGAACTCCCCCCCTCGAAAGGGCAAGCCAGAAAGTGATGGCTAGAGGTCGGACGTTTTGTACATGCTAACGATAAAAAACCAAGGACAACCCCCGATATGACCCAAGAATGCGCATAGTTCCAGCAATGTGTCATCTTGCCTCTCTGTTCCACCTCTGCAGCCCGAGTTCGATTCCTGGTTCAGTCCACGTGTGGATTGGGTTTTCATTCCGTACCCGATTCCCTGGGTTTCAGCCAGAAATTTCTTCTCTGGGGTTTTCTTCCCACCTCTTAAACTGCAACTGCTTCTTACTGTCCCCCCCTCTATAGATGTGGGTCATTTGGCGGCTACCTGAGGCACCCTTGTATACCATTTGCTCGACCATAATTTAATGGCTTCATTGTACTGCGCCTTTTTATACAACTCTGTGCGACGTTTGCACATTATAACTGAATAAATGACAGTGCCCCTTCTCCAACCAATCCCCCCCCAGAAAACAATGAATACCTGTCAGCAAGTGTTCCGGAGTCCAGGACCTTATCGTCTTCAGTCTCGCTCTGAGGGTCAGCGTCAATGTCATCCTCGTCCGGATCTGTGTACTTGTTGTAGGGCGTGTCCGGCTCGTCCACTTTCATATGGCCGTAGTCCTTCCCCTCCGGGTGGAAGGTGGCCAATATGTTCATCTCGTCCCACTTGATGCCATCCCTGTGAGACAGAATTCAAAGGCAGAACTTAATGTTTTTCTGCTACCTGCCCACCCTGGTTTGATAAATCGGCAGAATCATAACAGAATGAGCATATAACTCAATGTGGTCAAAGCTGCCGAACGTTGCACCCCTCAAGAAGCAGTCATTGCCATGGGCGTGCAGACACCGCATGTTTATTGGGAATGGTCTGCTCGGCCGATGGGACGTGACATCGCCTCCAGGTATATGAACATACAGTTTGAATTGCCAAATGAAGGAGATGGTGACTCTGAGCTCGGTTGCTGAAAGCATTTCCGATTTGAATGGGAAAGTTCTCTTTTCTTCCCATTTGTGCGTTAACCTTACCATCATCATTGGAATCTTTGATTCCCACTGAATCCTACAGTGGGCATATTAGACAGTTTCAGGACAGTTTGGAAGTGAATCCAACATATTTTTGTGATTTTGATTTGGGGTAGAACATTATCATAATCATATTAAATAATAAAACCTAGTAGTAGTACAAGCTATTTTGAGTGAAATCGAATAATTTTTTAAGTATTAGGGAATTACGGACATACATGTAACTTACTTTTCCTTACAGTGGTTTATAACTTAGCCATCAGAAAGTGATAAAATGCCCAAAAAGTCAAAGTTAACAGTGGAAATAGTGTTGTGAAATTACATGACATGTATTGGTTATTGACTATTAGTTAATGATAATTGGTTATCTTTAATATTACCTGTTAGCGCGCGCTGCGATGATCAGTGCGTTCACGCTACCTTTGGAACATCAAGGCCTGCACTGATAGTGCATTATACATCACTGCCACATCATGCGTGCAAGCCAGAATCTCATGTTAACAGTGCGAATATGCTTGGTCCCGCTAGCGCCCTCTTGTGGTGGATTGCGTTAAGTTGTTTTTGCCACGCTACGTGCCGTATTTGTCCTTTCTTATGTTTTTCCCTTTACATGTTATGGTCGAATGGTCTTTACTTTGTTTTTAGTTAAAAACAAACCCAACATGTGTCAATAGTCATTCTAGATTAGACATAGTAAGTTTGTTTTGGCGTTGAGAGTTGTTAGTTCAAGTGCCTACTCGTAAATCTGTGTGATCGTCCTTTTACAATTACAATGCCTCTGCCTTCCGATGGACAAACCCACCACAATCAATTACTTAGAAAACACTTGTCTTAGAATTTTCCAGACTAGACTCATAGTCACAGGGTTTGTGCACAGCGTGTCAAGCGATGCCTGTAAATGGAACTCTTTCCATTTTTAATAGAAAGGAATGCCTACATCATGTACAAAGGGTACATGTACTTGGACTTTTTGTCCAACCATGTCTAAATGCTGAAACAAAAGGCAATTTGTCGAGTACTAGATACTCAGATTTGTTGGACTAGCGCAATCATTTTAATGAATTAACCCCACCACTGCCCACCAGACCACATCAGTACATGATCAGTGATTGATCTGTTGATGATGTGTTACGTTCCAACTACAGCTTAATGGGACTGGTCCAACTACAGTTGATTCAAATTCAGAGTAGGCCTAGGTTGAGAAAGTAAATTCTAGTTAAAATTCTACAGAGAATATGTCACTAAGTGGACAGGTGGAGACTGGCCAGCAATAGTTGGTCCAGCCCAACTGCAGCACCAGTTCTTTCTTCTTTCCTTACTGCAAAAAAACTCCATAAGCAGGATATACTGTTGAAGATAGTTGGGACAGACGCAGTAGGTAGGGCGTATGATGGTCATGCATGTTACAAATAATATGATTATTGATGGCCATGACGATCAGATGATCAGACATTGTCAGATGATGCCCAACTTTTTTTTCCAATAATCTGATCCAACGGGAAACGTAAGCTCCAAACATAAAGTTTCCTAAACTTACTCGGGCTTGTTAGCGGGATCTTCGTAATGTCCAGAGGCCTTCAAAATGCCCTTTTTAGGATTTTCTGACAGTTTCTCTGCCATGCTGCGCCCAAAGTCAACAAAATCAATGCAAATGTATACAAACACTCGGATTCCCAGCCCTACTACCACTATAAGATTGTACAAGAAGTCTGGGTTTTAGACGGTATACATGCGTGTGATGGCGCCCTCTAGTAAAGTCCATCCAACTTCTCCTCTCAAATTTGGGCTTCGTTTCATTCCCCGCACCAATTTACATCTTTGTTCTCTTTTTATCCCCTCAAAATTTACTCTTAATAAGACCTTATCTGAATATAACCTATTTATCAAACAAAAGAAGTATCTTTTTCTGATAAATTTTTAGCATTACAGGTCTAGAAGTGATTTCAATGTCGAAGCCGCCTCGTAAAGAACAATTCCGAGATTTGGAATCCTTCCCGTAAATCAGATAGTTAAAATAGACTTTTCTTCCAAAAATAGACTGTGCAGTTGATTTACCAAATTGATTGATAGCGAGCCTAATCAGCTAATACCTGAATACCAATTCTTACTTTCACTCTGTATGTTTTACAATAGCTTATCTCATATGTATATATCTTAATCGTCTAAAAATTATTTTAAAGCGGAAAGTGAACGCATCATCTTGCCCACGGGGGGTAATTAAATAGGTATGAGGTCAAACTTTGCATAAAAGGTCAATGTACAGAAAGAAACATTGCGATTTTGGCAAATGACGACACGCACTCATTTTTCTGGTAAGTATAGCCCGAGAAGCTAATTTTAAAAAGAATCTGTCGATGTAAATGCACTGTCAATTGCTGGTACCATTTTATGTGGGGTTTTGGAACCATTTCCATTGAGCGGTATCGATTTATTTAGAGTGTGTTTTATTTGACCAATGTCGAACTCGTCTGCCGCGCCGCGCCGCGCCGCGCCTGTCCGTATCATCACCATGATCATGATCACCCTGCTGGTATGGCTGGGGTAAATCGTTATCAGATAAATAAGCATATTTTTGCCGTATTTGCAAACACACTTTAAGCTTCTAGTGAATAAGATGGGGTTATCTCTTTACTTATGTTGAGCTCAATATTGTCTGACAATTCTTATTCCTCCATGGTCTGACACGGTGAATAATGATGTAGCCTAGGCCTACATGTACATACATGATGAATGCCATTAATGTAGACCTGTCTGCCTGTGTCCTTCTGTGTCTTTTGTTTCATATCGTGCGTAATGTCCTTGCATCAATTGATTGATTTCCAGTTTCCAGGAATTTGCAACAGTTTAACAGGTCTTGATGGATTTAAAAATTCAGTCTGATAAAACTGAGAACTTCCAATACATGGTCCAAATTTTGAAAATTTACCTGTATGACTTTGTAGATTTTGTAAAACAGTAAGATGCATGCCAAATTTAAATATCCAATGAGTGCTTACTTTCAACAAAAATATTGGGGGGGGGGTTGGTTAAGATTATTTCACACCTGCAAATTAGTGTTTGTTTTTCAATTTTTTATATACTGCTGTATACATGTATGTAAAAATGATCACCAAGAAGAATATTTTAGTTATGATATGGTGTTTAAGAGAAAATAATATAAGTTCTGTAAAGTATTGTTTAAGGATGCCAAAGAAAAGCATACATACATATTATATTCTTTCTACATTGCAGGATTTTTCAAAGTTTTGTGGTGCAGTGCAGTAGTTTTTTCTCGTCCAAAGAAAAGATTTGCTTTTCCTATTCCTACTTTTTCTTTACTCTTTAATGAGGACTGAGGACAACTGAGCCTGCCTTGGAACAAGATGCTTTCACGATCATCTTCCCAGATTGAGGATCGGTACCGCATGCTTAGCGGGTATTGCCCTGACTCGCAATGCCAAACTAAGCTGTACTTCCCGTCCTTTGACTCCAGCATTGAGTGCACAGGCTGCGGGCAGCGGCACGAGCGCGGTACCCTGCACAACGTCCAGGAGGTCACCGACCCCGAGGTGGCTCTCCACAACATTGTGCGCAACCTGCTGGTGGGCAACGCTGCCCCTAAGCAGACAGCCGACTCGGTTAAGGTCCTGGGCCTGTCCAACTACCATTGCAAGCTGCTCAGCCCGCTGTTGACCCGATACGGCATGGACAAGCAAGGGCGCGCCCAGCCCCTGTCCGCCCTCAGCCAGGGCGCCGAGGTCTTTGACTGCAGTCTGCTGGGCGGCCGGGCCTTCCTGCTGCAGCCCGAGCATGTCGGGATCATGGGCTATGGCCGGGACCAGACAGGCAGCGCCAAGTACCTGCGGGACACCCTTGAGTTCATCACCCAGCTCAACGGTAACCAGGAGGTCCTTATACCCATCCACGCGGATGGGGATGGTCACTGCCTGGTGCACGGCATCTCCCGCGCGCTCGTCGGTCGAGAACTCTTCTGGCACGCCCTGCGCACCAACCTGAAATCACACTTCCTATCCCACATTGCTCAGTACAAGAACCACTTCAAGGATTTCCTGACAGAGAGCAGCGAATGGGCACAGATCATTACAGAGAGCGACCCCGATTATATGCCAACAGAAACGGAAGCTTTCGGCTTGCAGAACATTCACATATTTGGCCTGGCAAATGTCCTACATCGACCGATTATTCTCCTGGATTCACTTCAGGGACTTCAGAGTTCTGGAGACTATTCAGGTACATGTGGTCTATGTCATCATTTGACTGTCCCCTGAAAAACCAAAAATACAGAACTCTGCTTTTGTCCAAAATATTTCAGAGACTTACATGTTCAGTTCAGTTTCAGTTTGGCTTTCTGACCCTAATTTGTCTGTGTCCCTCAGGAGTGTTTTTACCTGTGTTTGTCCCCCGCGAGGAGTGCTGTGGCAAAGATGGAATGCTCAACAAGCCATTGTGTATTGCATGGAGCAGCTCCGGACGCAACCATTTCATTGCCCTGGTAGGGGTGAAAGGTAAGGACTTTTCGTGGGTGTGTAATTTGCTCTCTGCAGATATGTGTCAAAAACCCAATGCAACAAGGCCCCACAGTCTGAGAGATCTGTTGTATGTACCCAAGGCAGAAGGCTGGAACCAATACCCTGAAGTACCCAGTTCTCATTGGTTGAAATTGTGACAGGTCGCCCATTGCCACGCCTACCCAGGGGGATGCTAACCAAAGCCTGGGGGGCACCCCACGAGCTGATCGACACCTACATCGAGTTTGACAAGGACGACATGTGTACGGTGGGCGGAGATCGCTCCCTCCCGGTAAGATTCTTAGGGAAGAGTCTCTTGTATTCTTGGGCCAAACTTGTCCATTTGCTATTTCAGTGTTTCCAAGTTTAAGATTTTCGGAGTGCATTCCAGAAAATAGCTTACATATTTTCATCAGCTCACATATCCTGCGATATGTAATGCAAGCAGTTGGTGCCATATAAATAAAAAAACCAAACTTTGACCTTCCATTAAAATTGGAAGGAAAACAGAATAGTGGAAATCACTGATAATCATTTCAGTGCTTGCCATTAGAAAATGTGCCATAATTGTATTGCACTAGACCCTGTCCCTCATTTGTAGGTGGTGAGCAGTTATGAACTCTTATACACCTGACAAGATAACTGCGGGGCTCATCTGATAAGTAACTGAGCGCTATCCCCTGCTATCACTAAACAGTGCAACGTCCAACTTGCTGCGTTTGCGGTCTTTGCTGATAAGCACTGTATTCAGAAGGTTGAAATAAGTCCAACTAGCCAGAAAGTACATACGGAGATCAAGAAATTCTTTTAAATTTCTAACAGGGTTACATGTATGTGCTTTTTTTCTGCTCCCCTCCCCCCCAACACAACCCAGGACAAATATGTACAGAGACTTGCAGCCGCCATGGAGGAGGTATTTGTGGAGAAATACAGCCTCCACCCGTCAGTGGTCGCGGATGTGCATCACTACATCTACAAGCGCACTGGTGAGAGCATTGGTCCAAGTTAAACCCTTCCCACGTTGAAGCAGTTTTGGCTTCCACTCCAACGAAGGGCCGTGACCATAAATGGGCAAAAATAGAGGTCGTGCATTGCTAACTTCTCCATAGCATCTCAGAGGCTGCGTTTGTCATTGATTTCGTTACAACGAATGCACAGAAGGTTTACTCAAGCCTATCCCAGTGACACAAAACTCTTGCCCTCAGCAGACGCGTTAACGCACCACCTCTATTGCTGCCATTTGTCTAGCAATTAGTCATTTTGCCATCCTTCTAAGAGTCGAGAGAGACTTCATACACTGCAACTGCATTTTAAATTTGTTCAAAAACAATTTAAATTTTCTTCTTCTTCTGGCTTCTGCTTCCAGAACTTGCCAATTCAATTCTTGCAAAAAGTTTCTTTACTTTTACTGTACCAGACTAGGTTAGCAAGCGAGGAATTACAATTTGTCATGCTTCAACTCCTTGTCTTATTCCATGTCTTATATCCTTCCCTCATCAGATGAGAGTTTAATTGTACAGTATTTTAAGAGGTTTTTGGCACTTTGCGGTATTTAAAGAGCTTCTACTGTATTTTATGATTATTCACTGATCCAACAGTTGGCTCCACCTATTTTTTCACAGGGTTTTTAATTTGGGATGATTTCCACTGTTTTATTGTGAAACCTTTGAGAAATGTTTATTCATATTTTCGCTATGAGAAATGCTTCTTCGTATCGCACGAAAAAAATGCTGTGTTGTAGGCGTGGTGGGCGTGCCCCAGAACATCATCATCGAGAACACCCGGCACGCCCTGGAGCACCAGCAGCTGTTTCGTTGCCTGCTGTGCAGCGCGGTCTCGCAGATCGAGAAGACCAGCGTGCCGTCGGGCTGGCTGGGGCGGGGCGGGGAGCTGTACGGGCTGGCCACCAAGCTGCACGGCCGACTGATTGAGGGGAAGGTGTACACCTTTCCTCTCCACGGTGAGCTCTGCGTGGGGTCGGGGGTTCCAGGAGTCACGGGAAAATCCCGGAAGAAAAGTGGCCCTGGAAAAGTCAGGGAAAATTGGGAAAGAAATAGGTGTCCCAGAATCCTGCTGTCAGAGGAAAACAGTCAGGGAAAAGTCACGGGAAAATTGGGAAAGAAATAGGTGTCCCAGAATCCTGTTGTTAGAGGAAAAAGGTCAGGGAAAAGTCACAGGAAAATTTGGAAAGAAATAGGTGTCCCAGAATACTGTTGTCAGAGGAAAAAAGTCATGGAAAAATCATGCGAGTCCTTGCAAGGGTTATTTTTGATGAGCTGATGTAGTCGCACAATAATGATAAATTTACAGGATAAATCCTTGTCAATATCTAGTAATGGCTGTGGCAGTCTTCCAGGTCATAATACCAAACAACTTTTTCTCTGCAAATTGGCATTAAATGTAATGGAAATTGTCATATTTTTGAGTCGTGGAATGTCCTGGGAAAGTCATGGAGTTTAGGTTTTAGGTTTCTGTGGAAACCCTGTGAATGTTCAGCCTTGTGCAGTTTTTAGAATTAAATGCAAACATTTTTACTTGTGTGACCAGTAATTTACATTACTTAAGTACACTTAAAAAGTTAACAAATGTGGCCCAAACTGCCCCAGCCTCAGTGTTAGCCATCCGCTGTTCAGGCTTGAAACTTTCAGTGCTATGGATGCTTGTGAGGACAAGAAATCGTAACCAGAAATCACCAACATTGATTCTGATTCTGTTTCTGCCAGAGCTGAATTGCACCTACGATGCTGTAAAAGACGAGCTGGTTCCGGATCAGTCCACCATGAGACCATCCCAGTGTGCCTGGTGTCAGGGGTAAGACCGGTTTCCACTCAGTTTGTTTTTAAATTCCTCACAGGAATGTGTTGGGATCATGCAGAACCAAGAAACAATCAATCAGGGCCCGAATTTTGACTTTTTGGGGGGGCACTGCTATTTGGCCTCGAGAAGTGGGACGTGTTAGGGGGCACCGCGGCTAATAACGGGGGCAACGAGGCCAAACTTTCTAAAAAGGAAAGGCACTGAGGCCAAGGTGTAAAAAATTCTGTAAAAGGAGTTAGGAAACTAGAAAAACAAAATGTGGTGTTCTTTGTGCTTGAGCTATCATATTTAGATTGTATAACTATCATATTATTGAAAGCAACAGGCACATTTTCCGACAAAGGATTTCTTAATTTAGAGCAAATTAATTCATAAAAAAAGACTTTCAGTGATTCAAACCATAGATTAAACAAAGAGAACATATTCTGTTTCAATTTTGACGCATCTTTTTCGACTGCACTGTGCAAGCTTACCGACCGAAACCCCCTGTGCCGTAAAGTTGACCAACCCATTACGCCACGGAATAATTAGTTATGCACATGTAGTTGAGTGTGCTGCGCGCGCGCATACGTGATCTGAAACTAACGGGAAAAAAGACCTAGCCATAGCTGCAGGGGCCCGTTCGGACACGGCTTAAGTCCATGTGTGCATGTGCCAGCCGGGTTGCTGCACATTGTGCCAGGCTAGGCTGGCTGGCCCATGCACCCGTACGTGCCTACAGTAAAGAATCGTCCACCGAATGTTGGGCTGTAGAACGAATGACACGTACATTTATATATTGTAAATCGAAGCCAGTCACAGTGCAGGCGAGCCTCATCGCGCGGTATGGTACGCTGCGCTGGGTCTGCCAGCTCGACTGTCCCGGCCATATTTGCACCCAATCCCATGTGGCATGGAGACGATTGTGACGATCTCTATTATGGTTAAATGCAGGACCAAGGAACAGTCAATTGCTATTATGGTATAAAAAAGCAAAAGGGTACCAGGTAAGGTTACCTGCAGTTGACTTGAACCCCAAGGTTGGGATGGAATCTTCTTAGTCGTTTTATACCAAGGACACCAGAGTCAAGAGTCTATTAGGCTCGAGACTAATCTTTCCCGTGCATACCAAGAAATTGCTCTGCACTGACAGCTGTGCATTCCATACCACTCGTGTGGTTTCAACATAGACCGTCTAATCTTGCAGAAAGCAGTTGCGTCAGATTCGAACAGACGGGAGTGTCGTCTATTTCAATGGCGACCGCACCACCACCCCAGCGCCCAAGACCAAGTGCAACTGTGGTTTCAAGCACTACTGGAACGGCATCGAATATGACAACAACCCATCAATGTAAGCTGCCACAATATTCCCCCCAACAATTCAGTTCCTTTTTTGAAAAGAAACGGTGTATAGTGCTGTTCAATTCCCATGACGGTTTACAGTTGCTGGTAGTGCCTCTTGTGTCTCACCAATCATGGTCCCAGGTTCGAATGCAGCCAGGTCAAACCCCATCATTTGACTGTGTGAATGATTTCAAAAGCAAGAGTCCAACAACCAGTTGATTTCTTTCTGGAGTTTACAATACAAAGAATGTGATATCTTCTACACAATGGAGGATTTAGGGAGGATTCTGGACAGCTCCTATCAAAAATTAGCCAATGAGAGAGGCTTGGTAAATGTGAACCACCCTAGCAAATAGATCCCCAAGTCGCCAGAGCCACTCTGGAGTTTAGACCTTTAAACAGCATCTTGCAAAGTAGAAATAGCAATCCTCAACGTTTGTCACCCAGGTAGTCAGGTTGGTGTGGGGCTCTTTCCTGGCCTATCACCTCTGCGATCCAGGTTCGAATCCTACCCAGGTCGGCATGTGGATTGGGTTCTCAGTCCCTGCCTGATTCCGTTGGTGTATTCCCTGGAATATTTATCAAGGCGTTTCTTCATTGTCATCTTCATCGTCACTTCATCCTGTAATTGGCGCTAAATGTGCTGTTGGATGAACAGATATAGATAAATGAAATGAAATAAAGTTTTGTCAGGATACCAACATAAGTGATGCATCAAAACTAGAGAGCGCGGGTCACTCCTTCTAATGTAAATTACAACATAATGACCAGAAAAAGAAATTTGCGATCTGAACACAATAAAGAATTTGTTATTGGTTTCCTGCAGAGTGAAGGAGTTCGAAGGATTCAGGGTACTTCCTTGCTAGATAAAGATTTTTATAGCTTCTAGGGTTTTGCCCGTTAACAGCTTCACCGTTCCCTTGAAGTGGAAGGGCCTGTCCTACCTGGAGGAAGTGCTGTGGTTCCAGGACGAATCGGACCCAGCCCTGAACAGCAACGCCTATGACATTGCCTCGGCCCTGGTCCAGAAGCACTTCCCGGGGGAGTTTGGCAGTGAGAAGCTGGTCCAGCAGGTGGTGGAGACCATCCTGCAGAACGTGAGTGGCTATGGACGCCCCCCCCCAAAAAAGCGACTACGTGTGGAATTTTGCATTGGTTTAATAATGACAGTTAGAAAGCAGCCCAGTTTTGTTCAGGCTAAATCTCAGTTGATGCTGAGAAAGAGTCGTAACATTTATTTCTCCATATTTCTAGCATGAAATTGTTACTCATTTTGTTTTTGTTTCTGCTGTTTACAGACTGCCGGACAAGAGGAGGAGTTCCAGCCAATCAGCCTGAAGGACATGCCAACCACGAGCACTGCCGACCAATCAGCCGCCGGCTTTGCCCCCGCACAGGGGGGCGACACTCCCGAACTCAAGCGCGGTTTGAAAGGGGATGCAGGGGGACACACTCCCAAGCACTCCCGACCCAAAGATAAGGATGGCCATGCAGGAAGATCGGCATCCCCCGCGAGCGGACGTAGTTCACCTAGGGTGGGGTCCCCTGCAGAGAAGAAAGGAGGCAAGCTGGATGAATCGCCGTCCAAGATAATACTGACTGGACACGCTGTAAGCAGAAAAACTTGGAAGAGAGTTGAAACTTTAAAGGTTCCAAGGCCTGTTTGAATTCAGTGCAAATAAAGTAATTTTAAAAGAAGCGGTACAAGGAAGCCTCACTTTCTAGGTGTATAGATATGTTGTATAGATTGTACATCGCTTGGCTGGTAACCGATGTTTGCATGGCTAATACTGCTTGTGGACCCAGGACTCTCTCCATGGGACAAGAAATTCACAATTATTTTTTGGAAACACATCATGCACTCCGGAAGATTCCATTTTTATGGACCGAGGATGTTCATTTCTTAAACACTCTTTCCAAATTTCCTTTGTGGTGTTGGATAACTGTACTGTAATTTAAATCAAAAATATACGGATCTCGGTTTTCAGGCCAAGACCCTTCACAAAGAGGAGCTTACCATGAGCGAAGCGGAGCGAAACCTTCGCAAACGCATCCAGGATAAGGCACCTGTCGTGCAGCACCATCATCCATCACTGGAGGAGTCAGGAAAGCAGCCCTCTCCCAGCACGCCCCCAAGCGGCAGAGCACCCACACAGAGGGAAGATGTCGTGCAAGGAAGCCCACAAGGTGGACCCAAGGAGGAGATGGCCAAAGCAACCGACATTGCCATGGAGACAGTCGTCCAGGCAACCAAAGAGCCACCGAAGCAGAAGAGGATCCGACTGACATCATCAGATGGGAAGCAGGTACGAGAAGATTTCCTTGATCCTGCAAAGGCCTCCTATGAAACTCCGACTAAATATTGAAAAATCTGGGAATACAGCTTTAATAATCCTTTTTGTTTCTTGACGGATGATAGATTTTTGCCAAGATTTTCATATTTTTTGGTCTTCCACTTATCTTTATTCACTTCATAAGGGTATTTCACAAAAGCGCGCTTCCAAGAGTTTGCAACGTGTCGAGCAATCACAGTGCATGAAATCTGTCGACCCAATGCTCGTTTGGTAAGGGTTCACAGATTCCGTGCACTGTGATTGGTCAACGTGTTGTAAACTCTTGGAGGCGCACTAATGTGGATCGCCCGGATTGATATTCAGTTTCCTACTTTCATCTGTACTTTAAAACGTGTTTTTTTTGTGGATATCAAGATTTCTTGTTTTCAGTAAAAGTGCATCTGCTTGAGACTATGAGACTGCTTGAGACCTGAGATTTATCTTCTTTTTTTTCGGCTGGTGCTCAGGCTACACTGGTTCTCGACCCCAGCACGACATTCGCCCAGCTGCAGGCCAAGATCGAGGCCGAGTTCCACATCGAAGCAGCCGACCAGAAGATACGCTACGGCTTCCCCCCGAAAGAGCTGACTGTGCCCGCCGAGGGGGACCAGGAGGATCAACCGGTGCCCCTGCAGAACGGGGACAGGGTGACGGTGGAAGTGATATCGAAGGGTGAGTGCTTCGCAGCCGCAAAAATGCAGTTCCTGTTTCTAGACCAATCCTATGACTCAAAGTGCACTCTTGAACTTGAAGGAAAGTCGCAGCATCCTATCCGCCTTGAGCGGGAACAAGAGAGGGCGTTTTTGAAATTGCAGTGACTGTCCTTGGGCACATGCGCGTTTGGCTTGGGGCGCACTGAGCCTGCACGATCCATCTTGTCTCATTTTCTTTTCAATTCAGACTTAAGAACGTTCTGCTCATGGTCACTTATGTTTGTTTGTATTTTTTGTGCGCAATCAGTACAACCCATGGAGGTAGGACCGTCAGAGCATGGCCAGCATTCCCTCAGCACCTTGCCAGGATCTTCCACTCTCATGGAGGGGGGAGGCAGATCACTGAACCGGGAGGAAATCATGAGGGGCATGGAGAATTTGCAGCAAGACACAGGTGCAGTTTCAGATTAAGTAACGGGGCTCAAGATACAGCTATCATGATAGCCATGGCCAACAAGTTTGCCAGTGATGCAGATTTTTTTTTGCCTGCATATGCTCTGTCCCTGGAATAAAATGGGTATCATTGTCTACCATTTCTACGGCACCTGTGCTTTTCCAAATAATATATGGGAAATTTTACAATCATATAATCAGCAGAATGACCTTTGACTTCATCTTAATTATGCTGATTTATGTAAACGCATTCAATCAGGTGACACCCTCGACCTCCAGCTCTACTCGCTGAACCTGATGGCCACCCTGATGAACTTGGACATGTGGGCTTACGTGCAGCAGAACGCCACGCTGTTTGAGAGGGGTGGTCTCTTCTACGCCATCGTGGAGAGGGACTTGGGCCTGGCGGACGGTAAGCACTTCTTGCTGCCGTCAATACCAAACAAGGTACGATTTAAAGTCGGTGTACCAACCCCCCCCATTGGGAAGTCTTAGCCCCTCCCCTTTTTTGAGGGTATATAACTTGGGTTTGGTTTAGTATTAGGTACAAAGTTTGGGCTCTGAGATTTAGGGGTGAGGGCTGAGTTATCTTGGAGTAAGGAGGGAGATATCGTTAGCATATTTAAACAAAGTTTGGGTAATCTGCATCAGGTGAACAGGATCGATCAAATCCATTTCTCAACCCTGATAGTCCAGAACCTCACAACAGCTGGAGAATATTCACAACTGCTAAGCTGAAGCTAACTTTGATGCAGAAGCTCTGAGCGAACAGTTTTATGGCACTTTTTCTAGTGTTTCTAGCCTTCCCTGATGATAAGTGTGATTTTCTGTTTTCTTCCTTTCTGTCAAGAAATTCACTTACAATGCCATGGAGGACCGCATTGAGATTTGCCTGGAGCCCATCGGACATTTCCCCATCAGGCCAGGGGTGGATGATTCAGACAGTCCATCCACCAGTCGACCTTCTCCCAGTAGCACTGACCCGGAAGACAAGGACCGGTCGGAGTACATCACGAGCGTGCGGAGCAAGCTGAAGGCCGGCGGGAGTGGGGTGGTCACCACGGGTGGCAAGCAGGTCGGAGGTTACAGGGCATTCTCGGGCCACGCCCACACTCTGAGTTCGGGGGGACAGCGGTTGGACGGGGGCACCAGCAGCAGCAGCAGCAGCCAACAGCAGGAAGGATGGGAGATGCCACGGTGGACCCAGTACCAGAGGGAGTTCAAGAAGCTCTTGGATCGGCAGGAACAGCAAGCACCCGAGGCACAGCTGTCTGGTAGTGGACAATCATCGGAGGCTGTTGAAATGCCACAGGGGTCATCTGTAGAGCAGCTAGGTGTCCTGGCCCAAGAGCCCATGCTGTCAAATCAGAGGGCAACGGAGGGGCAGAGATTAAGACCCACAACTCAGGAAGGACTCAGAGAGGAAATCATGGACTCTTCCATTTCAGATTCCGGAGAGGGAAGGGCAGGAGCCACCGATATATCACATGGCACTGTAGACATTGCAAGCGGCAATCGTGAAACGGAACAGTCCAAAAGCAAATCAGAGGAGGGCTCTACAGAGAGGGACATTCCGATGGAGGTCAGCAGAGAGGCGTCCGTGCAGCAACGCGCCCCCTTGTCAACCCTCCCCATGGAAGTGGACTCAAAGAACGATAATCTCCAAAATACTATCACGGTTCAGTCCTCCCTGCCGGACGGCCGTGAGAGCATCAGTGATGACGCAGCACCAGCACCCACCCAAGAACAACGCCTCCCTGAAGGCGAACCAGTCCAAGCAACAAGTGAACCCAAGGACGAGGGCATGCCAGTGTACGTCCCCAAGAGACTAGGACCAGGCTATACGGTTCTCGTCGAACAAACCCCACCAGGGGCATCCACGCCGAGTCCAAGTGACGAGCAGAGTCACGGAACATGATGAGAAAACCCGCACAGACTCATAATCAACTCTTACAACTAAGAATTTATTGAAACATGCAAGGCTGCAATGCATGTAATAACGTCGCCGCTCAATTTGTGGCTGACACCACAAAACTGTCACTAACTGCATCGTCGTCGTCCCTGTATCGTTATGCTGACATGGTGAGCGAAAGATGGGGGGCGGAGCCACCTGGTCACCGATTGGATTCGTCTTTGTCGAGTATTTGTATGTATTGGCAAGAATTGTTACATACTGTTAGACGGGATGTCACCCCCCAGCAAGATGACTATCTATGGAGTGGTGAAAATTAAGCCGAGGTTCTGTAGCAGCACAGCGTGACTGAACGTATTCAAAATGAAATCTCCACTTTGTTATAGCAGTCCTAGGCTGATATCTGTAAATAATGTACTGTTTTCACGCCAAGGGGAAAACCTCATAAGGTTACAAACAAGTTGATCACAAAAACCTGCTAGAAATGATTACACGTGTGATATGAACTGGTTACATGTATGTTTTTTTACTCGTGGAATGGGCATGAACGTTGCTAGCTGTGAACCGTCAGGGGTGGGTGTTTTTAACAGAAATGATGAATTTCGGCCAGAGACATTTTGAATCACATGCCTGCTCACAGAATGTGCATCCTCTCCCAAATACACATTTAGAATCGGTTCCCAGCAATCCAAAATTGGCATTTTTATCCCAGCTGTTGCAGGAATTCACTTGAACGTTTGCATTCTACCAATACCAGCGGGCTTGTCTCCAGCGTCACTCGTGTAGAGCTGAACAAAAGTAATTTTCAGTGCTTTGCCCATTCGTGTTGGCAAAGCTGATTCGTGTTGGCAAAGCTGATTCGTGTGGCAAAGCTGATTCGTGTTGGCAAAGCTGATTCGTGTTGGCAAAGCTGATTCGTGTTGGCAAAGCTGATTCGTGTTGGCAAAGCTGATTCGTGTTGGCAAAGCTGATTCGTGTTGGCAAAGCTGATTCGTGTTGGCAAAGCTGGCCTTTTAATAACCCATTTTATGTGCACTGTTGCCTGCAGCCCACTAAAGAGTAGGTCCAGTTGCCAAATGTGTCTCACAATGTAGTCAGTGCACTTCCAACTAAGGCACTCACTTGTCAACCAACGAGCCAGTGTGCCGGTCCTCTGTATCTTTTTCAGTGCCAAAGTAGGGTAATCCATGATGCATCTTCAAATCTAACAGCGCATTGCCAACATACGCAATCTTTTGTGCACATTCAACTAAAAATCACAAACATTGGTAGGGTGTTTGTACTTTGCACTTGTGGAATTCACCGCAACCCTCGGGATCCAAAGTTTAAGAAAGCGCAAAAGTTACGACAGTGCACAAAAAATGTTGACTGTAGTGTCATCTTTTAACGATTCTTCAAATTGTCAACTAACAGATTAGCCTTGACCATGGCAAATTCAAGCTTTAAATGTGTGTCTGCCTGGGCTGCATTGCTACAAATGATAACAATAAAATTAACACTGTCAATACTTTATTTCTACATCCGACCTTTGCAGAAAAGGTCTTGTGTAGCTAATGGAAATGTTCTAGTGATCTTGTAGCATTTAAATCTATTCATCTTGACTTGGTGTCTTGTGTGAATATCTTGCATGTTTGCACTCCCCTTTACCCCTTGACCTTTATCTAGCCTCCAGCTTTCTTGACCTTTCCTTTTGTCCTCAGGCATTCGTCAATGCTTAGTTGATTCCGTTTGCCTGTTTTTCCCTATCTACTGGTTATTTTGCCTTTGAGAAAGATCCTGCTAGGATCGAAACGTCAGGCCCTCCATATTTTGTGTTCGCCATAGGTGTAAATGCCGTGGATTTGGTAAGGGTGTAGTTTTTGTTCTGGTTGGGATGAGAGGGGGCTTGTACTATTGCTTAATTCAAAGAAAGGAAATTATCTTCCTTGACCCAAAAAGGTACCCAAAAAAGTCAATCTGACGAAGAAATGTTAAGTTTTCTGTAAATATACTTGGACTTTTCTATCGGGGCCGATGGAATTTGTGCACCAGATTTAACAGAGGTGCCCAGACATGGCACTCTGCAAAGGAATGTCATATCGCTGGACGCCCACCTCAGGGCATGGACACCAAGCTGAAGCTGGCAAAACGAAATCACTTCAGTGGGCCCGGCGGAGTCAGGTTGGCATAGTGGTTCTTTCCTTGCCTTCCACCTGTTCAATTCCACGCTCGGTCCACACGTAGATTGGGTTTTCAGTCCCTACCTGATTCCATGGGTTTTACCCAGAATATTAAGCTGAGGTTTTCCTCCCACCCCTAGAACTGTAACTGCTTCTCATTGTATCTTATCTCCGGGTTTCTTCAGGCTTGTGAGGTTAAGAGTGCCTTAAGGCACTCAGTTGAGGAATCCTTGGTGCTATTACTAGAAATTCAATAACAATGGGCAGGACTTACAATCCAAAAAGCAAACTCTTACGACAGAACGCAATCGATCCACCTACATGTAAAATGTTTAATTCAAATCAAAGGAAAACTAAAAACTCATACTGCATGCATTATGTGGCAAAAATGCCTACGATAGATCGGCAGCATTTTTGACTATAATTAATAACACAAACTGGAGTCACTCAGCACTGCATGTAGACCTGTGTTGGGCCCACAGCAACACTCTGTCAGTAGAAGTACACATCTCTACTGCCACGAAGTCCGTCAACAATAGAAATTTGCGAAACACAAAGAAACAAAGGCACATTATCATAAAAATTGCATGCACATTTTCATGGTACAACAACATTAAACGGTACCTAAAATACAGGCAAATCACAATAGTGTGCCTCCAAGAGTTCGCAACGCATTGGCCAATCACAACGCACGAAATCTGTCAACCCTTTCAAACACGAATTGGGTTGACAGATTTGGCACATCGTGATTAGCCAACGTGTTGCAGACTCTTGGAGGCGCACTATAGTGAATCGCCCGTATTGTAACAAAATCTCTGTGTAAATGAAAATCCAACTGAACAAAAACTTCCTTTCATCAGAGAAAATCAAATTCCCGTAGAAGAAAATACAGCCATCCATTATACCGTTTTACTGAGATGTTTACAGTTAACAACACTTAAGTACACACCTTACACCGCAGGTTTCTACGATAAATTTTCCCTGAAATACTTCAACGATAAAATATTTCTGTAAAATTCAGTGTCATTACTCCTAATCCCTCTCATCAAAGTTGGTAAACATTTCACAATGCAGACAATTATCTTTGTAACTTGCCCCTCCATACATACTCCTCAGGGGAACAAACTGGCACGTGAATGTGAACAGAACAAGGCTGAAGTTGTGACCACAGAGACCTGAGATATGCCGTATTTGGAGAGCAAAAAAACTCCTGGATTTTCATTCATTAGCAATAAGAGTTGGTCCTTAGTGGAATGCATTAACTGTTGAGAATTTTACTCCAGGCACATGGAGATGCACTCAGGAAAGAATTGAGAAAAAAATACCGAAAGGAGCGGTTAACATGCTGTACCATTCTCTTGCTAAACAAGTTCATTTCATGCATTCCCACCAGTTTCTGTCCCTGAAATGTACAAAAAAAATCTTAAACCGTAATTGTTTTGACCGAAGGAAATTAATAAGAACAATTCCTGCCCCAAAAAGTGCCAGAACATGAAGTTTAACACAAAGACCAGCAAGTCTAAAGACAATGATGTACCATCATAAAAGACGGTGAGGCAGCATATTTTGGCTCTTCAGCTTGCTTCCAGGAGTCACAAGTTTTCTTCTGCAACATCTGAATGTCCCTGCTTTTTAATATTTTTCACTGGCATTCATGCCCAAGAAGACCTCTTACAAATTACAGAAAGAAAATTTAGATAGCAAACGAAAGTGAAAACCTCAACCCCAGGATATTTTTCCACTAAAATGGAGGATGAGGACTGCTTAAATTGAGATAAACTTTTGCATAAGCTTAGCAACTTGTCCAACTAAAGTTTGTTAGGTTTTACCTTTAAATAGGTGGCCATTAGAGTACTAAATGTATACAATTTTTCGCGGTATATCTGACTAACATGGCTGCCCACCATCTTATAGACCTTCCTTTTGCTACGTCACAAGTGCAGATTTTGCCAACCATGACTGGCAAATCTATGGCTGGCCGTGAGTATAACGTTGGGTGCCCGGCATAAGGGCGTGAGCGCACTTACGCCCTTTTCGCCGGGAAGCATGGTCAAAGCAGAAAAAAATGTTCCCGGCAAAAGGGCGTAAGAAACACACTATCTTTATTTAGTAAAAAACGGATATAATTGACTACAAAATCAATCTGGGCTGTACAAAAAGCAACCTTTGAACAACTTATTAAAGGACTTGGGCTTTTTTTTTTTACTTTTTGCCAAGAAATCTTCATATTTCATTAAAATAGAAGGTTTGCATACTTTCGTCCTTTTGCCGGGAAAAGTTTTTGCAGTGATCATGCTTCCTGGCAAAAGAGCCTAAGTGCTTACGCCCTTCTGCCGGGCACACGACAATAAAGCCCCGTAATAACAAAAAGTTTTGAAATGGTGGTGTAAATATCACACCTTTTAACGATAAATATTTCTATGGAATACTTGATGAAAAATGCCTTCTGTCTTGACGGTCATTAAACAAAAAGTGGAGTTTGAGGCCAAAGGGGTGTTGTGTCCCAAGGGAGAATGTTTGTATATCTTGGCCGCCCATACAAATTAGCTGTCAGTGTTTGTAAACAAAAGACAGGTCTACAACTTGGAACATGAGAGTTCTTGCAGTTAATAACGGTTGAAAAGACCTTATCAAAAGCTGTGACCAGCTCTGTGCTACAAACACTTTTAGTCAAGTTAACCTTGCAAATGTGATGCCAATGTTTCCAAAAGTGAAAGTTAAGGACATCTCTCTATGCTCCATAATTTATCATTTCATCACAAAATATAATTTAATAAATCAATCAAAACTGTAGTCTTAGAAAACAGTGTAAGAAAAGACAAATCAACTTAGCCCTGGCCTTTACATGCAGATTAAAACCAGTATAATTATTTGGAATTTGATAAAATAAAACTTCCTGATTTATTCTTTTGTACATTGAGGAAAGTACTTTAAAATTGAGCAATTTAACAATTCTCAGTTTTATGTCTGTTGGCTGAAACGCCAACAATATTCTTAAAAACTCTCAAGCTTGCAATACACGGTAAATTGTGACATTTGACATTCACTAATAACTTCAGTTCTCAGCCAATAATTTTCCGAACATCAACAGCGTTTTAAAAACATTTGTTGTTTAACCCTCCCCCATCCTTTGATTTTTCCATGACTCGCACCAGCAACTGCGAAACCTCTGGCACATGACTTTCACGGGGAACCAGTTCGTCAATAGCAATCAGGCTACGCTCTGAAAAATCAATGCCATTCGGCGAACTTTGGTATCAAACCCCGTAGAACCACTTCAGGCAACAGGAGGACTACGGGCTTATCTGTGGAGCTGATATCTCTGGTTATACTGCCCTCACACGCACATTCCTCAGCTTGATGCGAGTGTGCTTATATCCTGACAACTTACTGGTTAAAGAGGCACAACACACACACATACCATCTGTCCATGAGCGTTGTGCCATCGTGGTACCGTAATTTTCGGAAAATAAGCCGCCCAGTGTACAAGCCACAACATGCAAAAATCAGAAAATTAAGATTTTAAGTCAGCGTATAAGCCCAACCGGTGTATGGACTGCATCGCAGCGCTGATGATCTAACCACAAAGATGCTGCCTGCTGAAGCGCCAGTGCAGTGCATCAACGGTCCCAGTATACATGCAATCCTAATAAATAAAAGAAAAGTGCGAATGAGTGTCACCATAAAACTAAAATTTAAGTCCTCAAATTTAATTATATTTACCGGTTGAATGATTGTCCTGCGTGGGCAATGCATCAGCTCCTGCCCTTTTTTCCAACGGGCAGCAAAAGTTATGCGGTCGGGGATGTACACTAAAATCTCGGTAACTCGCAATCATTTTAGAAGTTGCCAGATCGTTTGATCTCGTAGGCCAACTATTTCTTGCCGAAAGAATATGCTTACCTTTTGTTTAATGGCAGAAAAACATCTAACGGCTAACAATAAAAAAATCTTAGTAAAATGATTGTTTGCCCAAAAATACACCATGAGTGACTAAAAAGTGGGGAAAATAATCACTAAAAATGTTGCCACTGCAGAGCAAGTAAAGTTTGGGATTATGTACAAATTTCATGTATTTGTTTCGTGACTCCATGACACAATGAATTCCGTTAGGAACTTAAAATCCGAAACACTCGAATTCTCATTTATTCTCCGAGGTTCGAGTTATCAGATGTAAACGGCAACCAACAAAAACATGAAAGTGCCACCTGATTGACTGATTTTATCCTTCAAAGTTTGCCGTATAAGCCACCAGGCACATAAGCCGCAGACAGTATTCGGCATGAGAATCAACGTATAAGCCCCGGCTTATATTCCGAATATTACAGTAATGGCCTTTAAATCTGGTTGATGAATTACACTATAAAGACGGCTTGACAGCAAACAAAACAGAAACAAGACGTTAATGGCACATTAAGCCAAGTCCACAGTTAAGTATATTAGAGCTGTTACTTTGCCATCAGTGGCATGACTGTGGGAGGGCGCCCCCTGTGAAATTTGGCAATGTGCACAACCTACGTTGTATGAGCCATACAGCGTTTGCTGTCTGTGCCTCCTTCAAAAAATGCCCCCCTCCCCTGTGCCCTCTCAGAAATTTCACCCCAATTTGGCCACTGTTTGCCATCTTTGTAAATGACTGAACCAAGTCAGAGTCCACAGCAGTAGAAAATACTTCATCGATCCAGACACAGCTAGAGCCTGGTTTCCGGGCAGATATTCAACCTGCTAACGAGGCCTGTGTGTTTCTAGTTGGTCCCTATAACAGACGCTTTGGATTCCATTTGATCTGTCTCCGAGAGTAGTACCGGTGAGCAGAACTGTCGTTTGTCGCAGAGTTCTTCAAGGCCCTGAAAGCGAGAGAGGAGATTCATGAACATGTACGGACAAAATGAGTGACAAGAAGTCAAAAACTGTTACGTTTGTACTTGGAATGTATTTCATATTTATATAAAAGCGAGGAACAACTCACAACAAGGACTGGAACAGCCAAGAGCAAGACAGAGTAGGAAATTGGGCCAAGAAAATGTGGACCAGGATTCAGTGTACGCCCTCTAAATACATACCTCTCCTGCGTACGATGTTAGAGGGGAGACTTCGCACACAACAGGGTAGTCATCCGCGTCATTTGCTCTTCGACTGGAACGGAATACCAGTTTTAAAATGCTGTCATTAATGTCATTAACTATTTGTAAGAAGCACATTGGATGTGTTGACAGTGGTGAAGCCACAGGGGGGCCTGGGGGGCACATGCCCCCCCCACAAATTCCTGGGGCCCCTCCATGAAAAAAAAACAGATGAATGGATAATGAACAAGGCCGACGAAAAGTTGCCCCCCAAAAAACACATCACTGAAAGCTCGTGCCCCCCCATAAGATGCCGGTGCCCCTTGTGCCCCCCACTGGTAAAATCCTAGCTACGTCACTGTATGTTGATAGAGTAGAACAAAAGCCATGTGCAACTCTGCCTTATTTACATGTACTACAAGTACATGTTGCTTTTTGGCTAATCATAGAGTGGACATTCTGATGGGAAGACAGTTTTGGCTGCATATGGACTAGTCCAGTGCATATTCTCCCGTGCAATATATTGTTGTAGTACCCTCTCAGGCACTAGTCCACATTGGCTGATTGTGAGTGCAATGCTGTCAAGGGGACACAGACTCACGGGAGCTACAGAAATTCATAGCATGACAGGCTGAAGTGTGTTGCAAGAGTGTCACAACTTCACCCCTATTTGCACCTCAAAACGTGCCACGTTTAAAGCAAAATCTTGTTGGTCAAGGTTAGTACAAGAGTGACATAAAAGGGTCTATTTCTTCAGCCTGTGGTGCCCCCAGCCTCTCAAAAGCACTGAGTTCTTTCAAGCACTGTACTAAAGCCCCACACTAGTGCCTGGCACTATGGCCCTCTAAGCCAATCAATATTTACATATTGGAAATGATATGGGGGAATTTTAAACTCAACAGCAATATCTGACATTTGTTTCCACCACACACATGTACTGTAACTCTGTGGAGAGGTTACTGGATTTCCATGCAGGTATACTAGTCAGACAGGAAAAAAATAAAGTCTGCAAAGGTAAACCTGCTTCATTACTTTTCCAACATCAACCCAAAAAATAAATGAAACTGGCCAAAGAGAGACTTACAAACCAGCACATGCAGGTCCAACATTCCCATTTTCACAAACACTGGTATCACTATGCAAATAAGAAATGAATTAATTGAGCACCCCTCAAACCTAGGATTGACAAAAAGGGCCTTTTCCTTTGGCCTTTGGTGTCTCTCAGCCCATTTCAAAGCACAGAATTCAATAGTGCACTATACTACTAGTACTAACCTGCACTACTACCTGGCACTATTGCCCTCTAAGCCAGTCAATATTCACATACTGGAAACAGTTTCCACCACATACATTAACTCTATGGGGAGGGTACAGGATTTCCATGCATGGTATAATGGTCAGGAAAATAAGTTTGCCAACGTAAACCTCTTAAGTTACTTTTCAAATGGTTACTGAAAGAAATTAAATGAAACTGGACAAAGTGAGACTTACAAACCAACACATGCAGGACTATTTTCACAAACGTTAGCACTACTGTACAAATGAGAAATGAATTTACGGTTAAACTTTCTCAAACCACAAGCAAACTATAGCTACAGGTGCAGAGAATTAAGCTAATTGACCAAAGAGGGAGTGGAACCTCTGACCTTCGCCACACAGCTCCAGCACTCTGTCAAGTGGAGTTATCCAATTCCAAGTTGGTCTCTCATTTTGCAAAATTTTGCCTTTTATGGCACACTTTTGATCAACTGGTAAGTTAACATCAGGTTTCAAAGATTTAAACCTGCGAACTCCAGAACACTGCACAGGTGTTCTACATCTATCTACGGAGTTCAGGGGCTACATGTACAGTAGTTGGACATGGCTGTTTATCGGAAAACCACTGGTCAACCAATGCTGATAAAAACTGAACATGTTCAGTTTCATATGTTAGTTTCTGGATGGGCCCTACAAAGCCTGTATGACTTGTTCTGTTATGCTCAAAATGACATCAATTTTTTTTGTTACATCTCTTCGGCCATATTTTTATTAACTTTTGGGCAAATTTGGTTGAAAAGGACTATTCAGAAATGTTCACGGTCCATTTTACCTTGGGATCGCAGGGATTGGCGTGCCATCTTTCTCTACAAACTTGCCGCCGGCGTTCAAGACCCACCGATGGTGCAGGGACAGGAGGGCGTGGCGCGACGTCGTGGGGTTGTCCTTCTCGGCCGTGTTGCTGTTCTTGAGTGGTGAAAATTCGTCCTCGCGTAGAACCTCAAAGACTGCAAAGTTGCTGGAGACAGAGAGAAGTTTGGGACGCTGGACCATTTAAATCAATGACAGACAACACATATGAACATGGGTAGTGTACTATTTTGTGTCACTGTTTTGTGCAATAAGGGCATTTCACAAAAGTGTGCCTCCAAGAGTTTGCAACGCATTGGCCAATCATAATTCGTGAAATCTGTCAACCCAATGCACATTTGGAAAGGGTCGACAGATTTCGCACACTGTGATTGGCCAACAAGATGCAAACTCTCAGAGGCGCACTATGGTGAATCACCCGTATTGCAAAATAAAGGTGACATGCCATTCTCTTTATATAAACAAATGCTATTGAACCCACGACTGCAAGATTTGTCTTCAAAATGAAATCACCTGTATCTATACAGCTCAATCCTCAAGACTGGACATCATTTGGAAACAGCTCCAAATCTTTCAAGAAGTCTCACTTATTACTGCCCCCCTCCACTTCCACTCCAGGAAAAAGTTTCAGCCCAAACAGAGTGCAACAAGGCTAAAAAAAAACCTGTTGTCTTTTGAAGCATGAGCAATGAAAATAGTATGCACTGTGCAACTTGATGGAGCACTGCGCACCGCCGCAAAAAGTTTGTGTTGCAATTTGTTCCATTCTGTTGCATTTAACATAGTTTTCATTTCAACCGTGTTCCATTCTGTTGCATTTAACATAGTTTTCATTTCAACCGTGTTCCATTCTGTTGCATTCAACATGGTTCCAGTTTGTTGCATTCTGTTGCATTCAACATTCAGTGGAACGCCGCTATAACGAACAAGATGGGGTCCACACTCAATGTTCGGTACAGTGGTCTTTCGGTATAGCGAAATTAACTGCCAAACGTTTCACTGCCATGTTGAATAGTGCCCTCTCTTGTCTAACTGAAGTGTACCGTCTTGTGATACTATGAATACATGTAGCTATTTTTGTGATGTTTTGCCGTTGCATTCACATTTGAGGTTTCTAGAAATTTATCTGTTAATTATTGTTGTTTTTCATTAAATCTTGAGGTACAAAATTGATATTTAGTTTATCCTAAAAGTTGTGAAGCTACCGTTCAGGATCGATCTCTGATGTATGGTGTGGCGAATCTGGGTTAATTTGCAACTGCATAATGTTCAGTAGGTTTTGTGCACAAAATATTGGGAGCCAAGGACGATGTTCGGTACAGCCGAGAGCGCACAGTGCCTGAACAGAGCCTAACAAGTAATACAGTATGGAGTGCATACTTTGAGAACTCAAAGACGTCAAAGACAAACTTCTCCATCTTGATTCCGTTGGGCTTCTCGGGGACAACTCGGTTGCCGCTGTTGTCAATGTAGGGAATCTTCTTCTTGGCTATGTGGTGTTTCAGCTTCTGCTCGTGAGATCTGAGTGGCACAGGAGAGAATCACAAATGACAACCGCAGTGATCAGGCAAAATACCTGCTGCATTTGTAGATGTGGCCATTTGAGAAAAGCATGCCAGATAAGCAGGTTTTCAATTGAATTTCATGCACTTTTTCTGATATCAGAATCAAAGCACTAAACCTGTTCTTCAGTTGTGTATTCTTTTGGCACACTGCGTTTAAAAAATTCTACCTCTAAATTTACATGAACATTCCCTAAAAAAAATTCCTTCACATACATAAATTCCGAAGAGCAAACAGGGAGTATTTAGATCGCAAGAAAAATCCAAACTTTGAGACTTCGGGCAAACCTTGCCTCCGAGACAAATTACTCACTGTTAATTAACTACAAGATGCAACACCATGTCTCTATCAAAAAAGCCTCGTATATGTATTTCTAAGCTACAGGTGTATATACTTATTTTGAATTCTGTGCATTAAATTGTGACCCACCATGTCCCCAAACAAGGCTGAAGTCGGTAACTTCATAACCCTAAAATAATGGAATTTCCACTGTTCAGATTTTCATGGGAGTTTTACAGCTATCACTACCCGTAAGAAGCTTACTGCAGACAGAATAACGATTTAACATCTACCACTTTAAAGAGTAAAAACAAAGCTGGAGGAGAGGAATTGTCCAACATCATTAGTATCGACTTCAGCCTGGTTTTGGGATGGTGGGTAACAATTAAGACAAACACTACCAAAGTGTTCTTTCTTGTGAAAATATGGCATTACTTCTAATCACACGTATTTCCTCTGAACATCTACATGTGAATGCTAATCAAATTTTTTTTTAAATTGGATTTCTAATCCTGTTGAAGATAGAACAAACGTGTGCATTTTTCTACCACCACACAGTTCGCCTTGTAAAGAGAAGATCAATACGCAACGCCCACCCTGTTGAATGATCCACAACAGCTGATCTGACAAGGCCATCTGTTCAATGCTGACGCAAGCACATGTGCAAACATGTACACTGGAGTTAATTATGACAATTACACGAATCTACATTTCCTTTCGATGCAGGAAGTTACTTTAAGCCTAATGACCACAAAAACTGATCTTCCAGTTTCCGGTTGTCTTTAAAATATCCCGATTAATGAAATGCACACGGCCAGGGTTACAGCCATACGTTTGTATCTCATGAATATTTGACATCATGACAGAATTATGCACATTTGAAATCCCAAAAGGTCCAATTCAATTCAGGTGTTACGCATACATGAAGCGCTTCACTATCCAGAACATAGCCAATCTGACATGGCACTTAAGATGCATTTGCTATGCCACGGGTGTATTCTGTCTATATAGAGGATTTGCATGGTTGCCATCTTGCAGGCCACCGCTTTTGCTCCACATGGAATGCCCAAAGGAGGCTTCCATGTGGAACAAAACAATTGCCCTCCAAGATGGCTACCATGCAAAGCCTCTATACCCACATGCCAAGTGCCTTGATTCCACCTGGTGACCACCAAGTCATGTACATTTTTATGCATCTTTTGCATGGTATTTAGCTTAAATTATACAGTACGACAAATGCTTAACCTTTCAAACCTTTTATACATTATTGAAGAGATACAGTGCATACCGGCAAAACAATTTGGAGACAGTTGCGTTCAGTCACTATAAAATCCAATTTTGTGGGGAAAAACTAACAAAAACTAATCACACACACAAGTCTATTGGGCTCTTTACCAAAAGGTCCCCTCACCTGATTAGATCTTTCAGGAATTCCGTTGTGAATAAATGGTTGCAGATGTTGCCGGCACTGAAGATGAGCCGTCCTTCCTCGTCCCTCTTCTCCGCGGTCTTGAGCGTGATTTCACTGTACTCCACCACCTGGTTCTTGCCGTTGACACGGCAGACCACTCCGACGGGCTCAGTTGGAAAAGCCTTGGCGACCACCTGAATTGGAGAAAACTACTTGTTCAAAAGCAACCCAACTTGATTCTTCGAAGTGCCCACAGTCGCTCTCTTCAGCATAGGAAGGTTAACAGCCATTTGCAGAGTTTCAGGAGAGCGATATTGAGGTCATGATTACCTTGGCTCCACAGTTTGCACCCTTGGACTTGCAGAAGCCGATGAACCATGGGTCTGCCATCTTGACCAGGATGTTGTCCACCCCATAGACGTGAATGTACTGAAGATTCCGCCTGTTCATGTCTTCCAGGATGTTATTCTTCCCAAGGGCTCGGTAAAGACCTCCGTTCCCATCTGTACACCAAAAAAAGAGAGAAAAACGCTTTCAAACATCACTACAACTGATCTGACATGCAACCAGGCGTAAACATTCTATTCGTATTATTCCTGAACAAATGTAGCCAACATACAGACCCGTACCATAGTGGTGGCGCACTTTATGCGAACCTACCAACAGCAACTTTCAAATGACCTGAGGGTGGTTGGCACTGGCTGGAATCAGCCTTACCAAGCCACTCTGAAGTCCAAACAGTGGACGTGAACAAGTAGCACACATGATTTAAGTCACCGAGCAATGATGTACACTGCATGCGAATGGACGTCACCAGGATGAAGTTATCTTAGGCCGTGTGCGAAGCGGGCTTCCAGAGCTACCGGCTATGGCTAGGTCTACTCTCTGCTTGCATTTCCAATGGGGTGAAGACCAACACTGTAGACCTACAATTCTCGCCCAAGCTCGTTGCCCCCCTCCCCCTACCCCCTGGCCCCTCCCCCCCCACCTCCTGGCCCCCTTTCAATGGTGGCTCTCAATGTGCGATCTGCATTCTAGCTCAAGATGACAGCATTGACCAGGGGGGGGATGTGGAAGACCTGGAAAGGGTGCGGCTACTGATACGTGTCCCAACCATTTTGTCCAGGACTGTAGCTCTAAGGCAACAGACTCAGATGTGGTCCTAGAGTCTCACCTGGGGCCCGAGAGATCTTCCACTTCTGGTCCAGCAGGATCTTGCCGTCGAATGACAAGCAGGGCAGCATGTTCTGTTCAAACATGATGACGTTCTCCCTCTGCAGACCAAAGTAGTTGTGCTGGAGGAAGAACTCTTCCGTCGGCTCTTTTGTGTGCTCGCTGGTCATGATGTACCTGAAAGGCAAAGGGAGACCAAGACATCCACCAAAAAACAAGAGCCAAACCTCTTTCTCCCTGACAACTCAGCAACAGATTCTGCAGTAACTTAATTTTATCTTTCAGATCCGTCTGAAATCAGGATAAATCAATCCATCTGAATGGCAGGAAATTAAATAAACCTGAGGCTTATTTTAACCCAAATTCTGAAAATCAAGTTACAAATAGTTGCATACTGCATAAGCTCTTACCATGACTACCCATCCTAAACCCATGTTGTATTTGTATATTGCATAGCACCATGAGCTAAAATTAACTATCCACCCTAAAACCAAGTTATATTTGTATACTGCATACCAGCATGAGCTAAAATTACAATTTATCTCTCCACCCTAAAACAATGTCATATTTGTATATTGCATACCACCACGAGCTAAAATTAACTATCCACCCTAAAACCAAGTTATATTTGTATACTGCATACCAGCATGAGCTAAAATTACAATTTATCTATCCACCCTAAAACAATGTCATATTTGTATATTGCATACCACCACAAGCTCAAATTAACTATCCACCCTAAAACCAAGTTGCATTTGTATGCTGCATACTAGCATGAGCTAAAATTAACCATCCACCCTAAAACCGTGCTATATTTGTACATTGCATACCACCATGAGCTAAAATTGACTATCCACCCTAAAACCATGTTAATATACATGTATCAATATTTGTATACTGCCTACCAGCATAAGCTAAAGTTAACTATCCATCCCAAAGCCATGCTATATTTGTATACTGCCTGCCTGATATTACCATGGGATCACCCCTCGCTCTCGGTGCATCTCATATGCCAGCTGCTGGACCCTCAAGATCCTCTCCGCCTGGAGCTGGTACAGCGTCTTGCCCGACGGCAGGCCCACGTTGTACATACCCTTGGGATACTTGACCCCGAGCCTGGTGCCCTGACCGCCAGCCAGCAACAAGACGGCGCAGTGGCCCTTGGCTATTTCCCTCAGACCTGCATAAGAATCGCAAAAGCAGGTGTATCTCTCTTTAGAGTGAAACAGTTCAGTGGTTCTGGTGTCTGCCATGTGACAGTGCATGACTTTGGACCCAAGTGGGTACCACGGCATTTACATATTTTATTTTCCTAGGCACAATGTATCCATATTTTCTGCATACAAGTAGATTTTCATTCTCTTCTTTGGAACGGATTGGAATTGAAACATAAAGTTCAGGTTCAGTTTACACTCATGTGCATTGTAAACTTGGATTGTACATGTAAGTGTTTAATTACACCTGTACATGTAATTACATGTACATGTATAAGTGTTTAATTACACCTGTACATGTGATTACATGTACAAAGGACATTTTCTATCATTAAGTATTCCTGGCTACTCTTCTATAGCTGATCAGTCAGAATATTTACTGTACAAATACTTTCAGGTTCATGTGAATAAAGTGGATGTGTTACATGTACATGTAGCTGGCTAATCAGCAAAAGAAAGAGAATTGATTATCAAGAAAAAGCAAAGCCTTCATTTTGGGGATTTTCAGTACATACATGTATATGAACATGTACAGTAGCCCTTTGACCACGACTGTATTTATCTCATTTTTAAAACTTGATTTTAAGAGATTAAAATAGAGTTTTGCCTTTCGCATTGTATGTACTTCAAAGGAAGCAACTGGCCCAGTGTTGAGAACAATGTTTGTAAGCAACAACAGGACTTTAGGACTGTCTGCTACATGTAGATTGTAAAGTTTGGCACTGACAACTTAAACAGAAGGTCACTTCAAGGTATCAGCACAGGTACATACATTGTACACTGACCGTTTAGAACCCTTTCTAAGATTCTAATTAATCCTTGTAGAGACTTTGGACAATTCTGCAAAATTAAGGAAGGTACCGTTTATGCTCTATGATGTACATGTAGCCACTATTACATAATTCACACAGGACTCAGCGAGCTCTTGCAGGAGAAAATAAGCCATCGGTATTCCTGCACAGTGGTTTGAGAATGACTCAGTAAAATGCTCAGCCAGTAAAAGCTTCGCCATGAATTGGATTCACAATTTGGGGTTTTGTGCACGGCAGAATGTGCATGATATACATTGTGTATGCAGGTGCTTACACTGAAATGTGCAGGTATTGACTTTTTTGTTTTTTTCTTTCTGCTCTGTGAGATTCAATTAACTGTTGCCAGCTGTGCTGGCCAGCAGGTGTACACCTTGAATAACGAGAACTGAAGCTGTGGATAACCCTATCCAAACATTTTGTGTGCAGAATGTACACTTCCATTATAAAACATACATGTACATACATGTAGATCTCCAAAATCCTCTGTTGAGACAAATTTGGCTTTTGGAGGCAGCAATGAGATACGTAAAACCATCAAAATACGTGAGGTTCCTACAAAAACTCTGCAATAAATGTTTCAACACAACTGATTATGTATGATTTCCTGGACTGTTCCTCTTCATTTTGCTACAGATAACTTTGACCCTAATTTGCCTCTGAAACTGTTTTTCAGAGAGGAGAAAACATTGTGTGGACGTGGGGGAGTCCACACTATGCCATCACACCCTACATTATGTGGACTTCTTTTGTGCAGAGGTCCACACTACATATATGTATGCCACGCCTACGCATACATACATAAAGCATACACCTGTACTTTGTCCCCAGTATCTCAGAGACAAACTTCAAAATATAAAGTGACTACTCTTCTCTCAATAAAAGCGCTGGTAAATTTTTGATAATGGCCTTTCACACACTTTATATCATATCAGAGACCGAGATATTGCATGTGCAATATAACACTCAGACCTGTACCTATCTGTGCAAACTCCTTGAAACCCACAATATCTAAATATATACCTGTAAACAGTGCATTCTCAATAAGTCCAGGCCATAATTTCTAACGCACATTTACAACCTACATACATGTACAGTATGTAGGTTAGGTTTTATCTAGGATGGAAACTTCTGCCCTTCCCTTCTGAGCCAAGGTTAAAAACTGCCTGTCCTCTCCTAGGGGCTATTTTTGAAATAGACACAGTCTCTTCGTGCTATTTGAGGCCATATTTCCACTGCACCCAGTATTTTGGAAGGAAATGTGAAGACTTGCCAGAGATTTATGTGACAAAAATTGGGAGGGGGGGTTTGAACAAGCCACAAACTGCCTGTCCAAATTGCCTGTCTGCAGACATGTCAGGGCAGGTGGCCCGATAAGACACTTGATGCAGGCACAGTACCTCATAAACAGCAGCAAACCACTTGACTGCTTGTCAGTTTATAAACAACATTGATTTTGAAATGAAACAATTGCTGGGATCGAGCAGAGAACAATGGTAGTGAACAAACTGAACTCTGAACTTTGGTTGTTTTGTGGGGGGTTCTTCCAAACAAGTTCCTGAAGAACTTTTGTTACATTGCATGATAAACCTTTACATAACAAACACATCGGATGGTATTTCACAACATCCGTTTGATCATCAATTCGACACACCGAAACAATGAGTGGAAATGACACAAACAGCTGTACAAAGTACACTTAGAATGTAAATAAGTTGAATAGAATGTTGTTTTTAGACACCGAGTGAGAGCGTTTCCTTCCTTTTTTCACAAGAACTAATTCTTATTTAATCAAGTAGATGTTCATCTACATTTATGTCTCAATCGTTTTTTTTACACCTTTTTTTGTACAAAGCTTAACGTTGGAGTATTAAGGAACATTCTGATATAAAACATCTCCTCCCTACTGCATTTCCGGTAACTTTGGGAGTATTACCATGACTGAGCACATAGCATTTTGAGCATACAAATTTACACATGCAGACCCCCAAACACTCCAAATTCTAGCACCTCAAATACCATATTGCTGGTGAGCCAAACCAAAAACAACGACTTTTTCACAAAGTTTCTGTGATTGTTTCTCTTTTCAATTTCCATTTTGCTGTCCTAAATCCAATAGACCTCAACTTTTTTTTTCATTTTCATTTTTTTTCCCACTAAATCTTGAATACATTTCGACCACGGTTTTCTTCTACAATATATGTACCTCTAATGCAAAATTCAGGCTTATAAGATGGGTGGAACTCCCATAAATTAATCTGCAAAAGAACTCACGTTGAAAACCTATTTGTCATCTTATGCAAATTTCACTGTATAGAAAAAAACAAAGGCTAGCCTTACCTTCCCGATACCATTTTTCCTTTTCCTTTCCTGACCTGGTCATGGACCCGAAGCACTCGGAGGGCGTCTGCTCCATCTGGCTGTCTACCTTCTCCGTCTCGCTGGCCGCCTCCATGGCCATGTTGAAGGACCGCATCAGCTCCGCCACGTCCGTGCTCTCGATATCCCGGTAGAGGGCGCCCTTCTGGTCGGCGTCCAGCTGGTGCCAGAACTCCAGGAGGTGCTGCTGGCCATACTGAGACAGCTTCTGGCGTAAGGACTCTACATTCATCTTTCTTTCTTTTTTAAGTTTCACACGTCTCCTGTTTGTTTTGACCTGAGTTCGGAGATAAAAATGGTTAAATTCTGGTAAACACCAACGACAACCATTACCCAAGTTAACGTGGATCATCTGTCCAAACTCTGGTCTCAGCAAAAGTTTGACGATGCTGACTCATGGTGTAACAGTTAGGCTGGTCCAGCAAAGTGTACTGAAGTGCATTACATGTACGTCAAGTGCCCAATTACCATGATTACCTGAATGAGTGTAAAAGACAATTAGAGCGAGAACTAGGGCGGATCGAGTCAGTTCAAACAATTCACTCTTCGGATATTCGACCTTTAATTCGATCGAATATCCAAATATTCGGTCGTACCCACCAGCAGGTTATTGATGAACAAACCGTGTGCAAAAAATCAGTTGCAAAGTTCTGTACATTATAATCATTGAATACATGTAGCTTGTCAGGTGTTGGGGTATCTCCAGCCATGATTTAGCAAAATTTAAAGAGACAAACTTCTTGCCATGTTGAAAATTTCTAGACCTTTTAGATTTTTTAATAAATAATTTACTTTTGGAATCTTTGTAAGATTTCTGTCACTTTTCATTTGAATCTGCTTGAAACAAGCCTCCATAGTGCAACTTTTTCTCATTAAACAAGAAATCTCTCCCTTCCTTTTGTGAGTTTTTCATTTGACTATTCAAATTTGGCAAATTTGATAATCAATTGAATATTCGGATATTCAGCACAGCCGAAATGTAATCCATTTCTTTGGAGTACACTTCCTAGTCAAGACGACGTCAAGTTTTGGTACTCTTTTTGGAGTCAGTCCAATCCACTCCATGCAGAATCAAGAAATGGCATTGACTACAGGTTACAACATGATTTTAGGGGCAAACGCCGAGTCGCTGTGAGCACATGTTAACTGCACATTAGCTCATGGCCATGTGTGGCAACTACGTGTATTACACGTACCAGTACATTACGTGCCATCATTCATTACCATACAATGATTGCCACTTCTTCTTTGTTTGGGATGATACATCTAAGGTCACCAAAAAAAATCACACAAAATACCCATAATGCTTATGTGACCCTGTAAGCATAACCTCTGCGAAGTGCACGTGTACGGACTGTCAACTCTAAATTTACGATGATTTACAAAAATCTCACAGAGCTTTTCTGAAATTTCAAGATTCTAAGAACAAGGGCACACACTGACACTTAATTATGGGAACACGATTTTACGTACACTAAGCGCTAGCTACTCTGTCATGTCTGTAGGCCTACGGAGTAGTGCCTTACTGTTCAATTCAGGAAGTAACCCACACTGACCCTATCAGTAGTAGGCATAGCATGCTTAGGCCCCTACATTACTGCCTGTCATGTCTGTATGCCCAAATCACTTTAGGCGCAGATATGCCCGGGCCCGCGGCAAGTGACATGCCAGAAAAAGTTAGTGAAATTTTCTGCTAAGGTAAGCACAAATGTTCTGCTAAGCACTGCTAAGTACAGCTATACAATCGGGCCAAAGGCTCCTGCTAGCTACATTGTAAACGCCCATTTTGACATGTTTGAAACCACAGCATTGCCGGTAACGGAGGCTCTGCCAAAAACGTACCCGGCCGACCGGTCATACGTATGTACTCATGCCGGTACAACTTGTGGAGTTGTTTTGAACGGAGTTCGCGACGTTCGCCGAACCCCATACAAGATGAAGTTCTAGGACTACCAAAAACAAATGAACTCACTCAGTTTGGGAGGAATCTATAAGTTCTTCGGATGTGCCTACAATCTGTCTCAATCAGAACTCTCATTCGGCGGAAAATGGGCGTGTTTCAGAGTCAAAGTTGTTGGACAACGCGATCAGGTGCAGATTCAATGATAAAAAGTGTTGGTATAGCGACCTGACCGATTGAAAACCTTTATACGTTATCTGGTTACGCGCATTCTTGCACCAGACTATAGGTTAAATCCCCAGACGCAACCCCCATGCCACATCACATAAACAACCTCGTCTCCTACAGCACGATTTTTCCCATCTTTGCAGTCGCGTACCCTAAGGGGTTGTCAGAAATACATCAGCCTTTGGGGACAAGGCCCCAAATGCAATGGTACATTGCCCAAATGAACTTAATGTTCGGCCCTGTTTTTATTACACAGCTGTCAAGCGATTGCGTAAAACGATTCGTGAGGAAAGACCAGCCTTCATACCTCGTGACAAATGTCCCTGTTGAAAGGTCGGACTTTCCTTTGAATAAATCGGGTTTTCTTAGCGTGCTGTGTAAAGAAATAATAAAAAAAATTCAGTGGTCCGCCTGCACTACAATAGACAATTTTCAAAATCAACAGAGCGCGCAATAAATAGACAATTAGAAATAATCCCGTGTGCAAAACAAAACCAAAGAAACCAATAAAACAATAAACTCTCCCGAATAGATACCGAGGGTTCCTGGCAAATTTCAGCAACGACTTCATCTGACTTATTCATTTCCATTTCCAAGTGATTCGTGCGCGCCTCACACCATCAGCAACAAAGTCGCGAAATATTTTTGTCTTATTCTCAGTGAGTTTTTTTCAGTCAGGAATCAAGTATACACAGATTACAATGCTCACAAGTGCACAAAGTTTCATTGACGCTTGCTCACCAAGCAACAAGTTCTCCATATATTAGTTGTTGGGAAGTCCCCAACAAAATTTCACAAACCGCCTTTTTCTCACGCCGAAAAAGTGTGTAGAGAATGACTTAAGAAGCCCACCCCCCAAACAGTGGGGGATATACCCCCCCCCCCGATCTGCCCCCATGTGTCTTCATTTTAGTGCTGCACACAGTCGTAATAGGCCTGTTTAAAAGGAACCGCCACAAATGACGTACTTGCCACTTAAGAATTGCCATTCATTACAGAGGGCCCTAGTTTGAGGTGGATCGGAGGCCCTGTTCGCACTTCATTACGAAAATCATCAACACACAGGGCTCGTTCAGGGCGCAATTCGGTCAGACCGTCAAAATCAACTTAGAAGAACATCATTATAATGTAAAAAGCCTTCTGGAAACTTGATAACAAAGTATAATAGGTTCAAATGACTTCAATCATTTTTGAGGAAGAAGGACAGAGAGGGTAAAGAAACGGCAGAACAGTAGGCCTAGTTTTCCGCTTTTGAACGTGCATCGATAGTTAGTACCGAAATCTACAGCTTAGTGGACAGTTAGGTTAATGGTTCGGCCTGCAGAAACGCACGATACAAAGATAAGGTGTATATATATATCGACATAAGTAAAAACAAGGACTATACAAAGTAAGCCATCAGCAAATGCCAGGAAAAGAAAAACTTAACTAAATAACTGACCCACAGAGGATTTCCTTTCCAATACTATTGACGTTTTAAAAAAAATACAGACATTTACATCAACAATTAAAAATATCAATACATAAAGGACCATAGCAATAAATAAAAGCGATAAAAATTAACAAAGTTAATTTATGTAATTAATTACAATAATTAATAGCAACATTTCGTTTATTTCATTTTTGGGGATACACTTACAAAGACATTCTATTCACAGAAGATACATAGAAAAATTAGAAACAAAACTCGAGGGGCGCAATTTAACCAGCTCCAGCTGGATTGCCCAAAATAAAAGCAACATGGGGTCAGTCGAAGGGCTCTCCAACTGGTTAAATAGGAAACAGGAAATAATCAAAACTAGGAAAATTATAAATGTAAAAAAGGGGGAAATAAAACAATATTAACGTAACATAGCATAAAAATACAGCAAAGCGTTAATGAACTTTTTTCAAATGATAAAACTATGGATAAAACAAAATTTGAAAGAAGAAAATGAGCGTCTTAAATTACTTTAAGTGCACGTACATGTATGAGAAAAATACCTGTTCTTGCAAGGCAGTGGAAAACAATGTAAAACAAAATACACGTACTTAAAAAAAGTTTTAATGGGAAACCTTACGGGATGAAGCTGGATATTCTACAAGGCATGGATGATAGGACCCTGGTTAAAGAGGTGTTCATGGAAAGAGTGGAAGAAGCCTTTGAGAGAGGGCTCTAGACAAAAGTCTCAAAGGTCATGGAGAAGCAAATTAAACAACCCGGGAAAGAGGGTAAACAAAGACAATTTCACACAATTGGTGCGGAAGTATTGATGTTTGATGAGCAAGGTGTCTGTGTTCCTTGTATTAGGCTGTGGAAGAAAATGTGACGGGATGTTCATATGTTTGAAGAGGTATTTGATGACAAAGGAAACACTTCAGAAGACAAGTCTGACGGAAGAGGGGGAGGTTAAGTTTAGACAAGCGTTCTTCATAGGAGAGGGGAGGGAGGTAGAAAGATTGTAAAGAAGGCGAGATTTTGTGAAGCGTGGCTGAACCGCCTCAGTACATTGGATATAGTTTTTCTGATGTTGTAACCAAACTGTTGACCCATATTCAAGAACAGTCCTGCAAAGAGATTGGAAAAGTTTCAAGAAAACTGCTGCATTTCTGGATTTGGCACAGTGCGTTGAATGAAACCAGCAGGTTTGGAACATGTTGAACGAATCATGTTAATATAATTTGTCCATGTAACTTAAAGTCGCTGAGAAAAAACACCAAGGTATTTGTAGGAGCTGACAATTTGCAGAGGTTCAGTACCCGTAGTAAGAAATGAAAGCTTGGTTTCTAGAACGGGGTGACGGTGCATTATGTTACTTGGTTGAGTTCAGCGGCATGTGGTTCTGTTCTTATACATTGGTACATGCTGCTAATTTAATCATCAGAAAACAGACGCGACCATAAAGTATTAACCCAGTTATGGATAATTTGATTGACAACATCACTTTTCAGAGATACAGGGAGTTCAGACTTAAAGATCAGGGATTAAAAATATGCATAAGGGAACCATACCAGTAAATGGAGACAATTACAATTAACAAAATTGATTTAAAAATTCGTTATAATTAATGGCTACATTAATTTGCACATTGCTACAGCTACTATTCTAAGGCAACCAAAAACAAGTGCGATCATTGAGAATGAATCCTGTTATGGAGAGGTTTATTTACAATGTCACTTCTCAGGGATTCAGGGAGTTCATTCCAGAGTGGTTGATGCTTACACCTATATTCGTTTCCCTGGTAAGGCGCTTTGGGCAGGGGCATTCCACGTCTACAACGTGGGCAATATCGTCGAGCTAAAACCGGTCACGGTTGTTTCGCTCGTATACCCAGCAAGAAATGAGACCGAGGGGTACCCCCCCCAACATGTCCAATCCTTTTTCACATTCCAGACTATTGTTACTTAACACATCCCCCCCCAAGATGTCTGAAAAGAATTCCCCAGATTCCTGCGAGACAATAACCAACACAAAGCAGGGGGGTTCTCTCCGTCTCATACCTTGCTGCATATGTTCGCTCGTGCCCCCCCTATTTGGGCGCCGGGTGACAAGCGAAAAAATACTGTGCTCGTACAACCGTGGCAATTAGTGGTGGCGCTATACAGTCGCGCTGGACTGAGTCACTTGGGCGTGTGTACCGTACCGCACCATGAATCAAAACTAAGGAGGCTTTGGGGACACCACCCTCACTTCAGTGGCGTGGGGCCCGAATAATAAGCTCTGTCACAGTAATTAGGGTTTAATAAAAAAAGCCGTTTATGTGATACTTAAACCTAGGCCGGTAGTTCACACCCTACATTGAATGCTTTTTATAAAAAAAGAGGAAAGCTTTACTAGAAGAAGAAGTTCCAAAGCCAAAGGTCCATTTACGTAGAAGTGGGTGTCATCAGAGAGGGCCAGCTGGGCTACCCCACCGGGTCCGGACCGCCGGTGGTTGGCGAGATTACGTCACGTGACACAACATCCCAAAGTCAAGATGGCGAAGCAGGTGAGTGATGAACTTCCTGACTTGACACTGGCGTTTTTGTGGGTCACGCTGTCTCAATCTCAGATTTAATGACTTTGTGTTGAGAGACTTAGTGTAGGAAGCCATGGAACACTCAGGACAATGTTTCATGTTAGATGTTCTGTTTTCTCTGTCCATCATGTGCATGGGCCTGAAGTAAAGCCTATGTTTTTTCGCTTGACGAGTTAGGCATGCTCACTTGACCGTGATGTTGACCATAACCATAATGCTGACAACACGGCCAACTAACGTAATGTAGCAATACCGCCAAACCGCTGCCGCACAGGAACTTGTGCTGCATGTTGTACGATCGTACAACATGCGCAGGCCATTTACTAGTAGTCACTGTCAATAACATTGCCATGGAATGCATGTTGTAATGTGCAAACCCATCCTACTGTACATCTGGGCCTACGTGTATACTCACTACTTTCTTACCAGAACAAGTCATGACTAACTAACGATAATTACTGTCAGCACACTGTCAACATGCAGAGTAGGGCTTACCATTGACACGGCATAGACGCCTCTAAAATATGTTCACAATTAAAAAGAAGCTGATTTAGACTGCATTTTGGATGTGTTGATGGTTTGTTGACCATGTTGACGTTACTTTCATGTGTTGAAGTTATACTGATAGTGATTAGTAAGAGCTGCCCATTTCTATTGTGGTTTAAACGAAATGTGATTGGAGGGACTATACACAGGCGTAGTCAGTGTGGTCAAGCTTGTTAAGTCATAGATGTACGCATGTGATGTTGGGTGCGATCGGCCTATCTGCATGATCGACCGATTATGCAGTGCAGTTGGTCGATTCTGCATGAAATCCCCAGCTTTACTTCCCTTTTTGGAACAATCTTTCACAACCGTTAATAAGAAAGAAAAGGCGATTGGCTGACACTGTGGCTGATGGTGGTAATATCAATATACATGTATCATGCAATAAGATCTACTGATTGTGCAAAAAAGAACGATTGCATATATCAACTGATCACCCCCGACATCA